CCGATGGCCCAGTGGTCAAGGCTACGGCCTACCAGGTTGTAAGGGTAGGTTCGAATCCTGCATGGGAAAGGTTCGATTTTTCCTATCGAAATTACTATTTAATTTAAAATTCATTGAAAAGGATTAGGTCAAATAAAGAACAATAGCTTTCGACAAATGATGTGGGGTCTAGTGGTTAAGGCGTTCGTCTCCCAACCCGAAGACAAACGTTTCAACTCCTGGCAATGCACAAAAATTAACCTAAAAAATTTCGGTGTGATTTGGAAGCTTTAAAACAGTTAAAAGACTCCTTCGGCCTTTCGGAAAGACCGTAAATTGAAAAAAATTTGAAATTAAAAAAAGTTTTAAAAACATGTGTCTTCTAAAAAGCCTAAAAATGAAGAAAGTCAGACAGAAAAAAAATGTAAAAATTTCCCGCTTTTAAAAAACTCATGTTTACTTAACTAAATTTTTTTTCACGAAAATTTGACAGGGTGATTTTCTCGAGACTGAAAAAATTTATTTTTTTTCACTTTTTTGAAATTCTCTTAGATTTTTTTTCTCACGCGGAAGTATTTTGTCTTGGGCTACCTGTGTCAAGCCAGACACAGGTCGCCCAAGACAGACACAGGTAGCCCAAGACAAAATACTTCCGCGTGAAAAAAAAATCTAAGAGAATTTCAAAAAAGTGAAAAAAATTAAATTTTTTCAGTCTCGAGAAAATCACCCTGTCAAATTTTCGTGAAAAAAAATTTAGTTAAGTAAACATGAGTTTTTTAAAAGCGGGAAATTTTTACATTTTTTTTTCTGTCTGACTTTCTTCATTTTTAGGCTTTTTAGAAGACACATGTTTTTAAAACTTTTTTTACTTGTGCTTTTCTTTCAATTTTCAGGGAATTTTTAAACGCAAGAATTTCTTTTTAATTTTTTTTATTTCAAATTTTTTTCAATTTACGGTCTTTCCGAAAGCCGAAGGAGTCTTTTAACTGTTTTAAAGCTTCCAAATTACACGGGAATTTTTTAGGTTAATTTTTGTGCATTGCCAGGAGTTGAAACGTTTGTCTTCGGATTGAGAGACGAACGCCTTAACCACTAGACCACCGAATCATTTGTCGAAAGCTATTGTTCTCTATTTGACCTAATCCTTTTCAATGAATTTTAAATTAAATAGTAATTTCGATAGAAAAATGGAACCTTTCCCATCCAGGATTCGAACCTACCCTTACAACCTGGTGGCCGTAGCGTTAACCACTGGGCCATCGGATTGTATATTGATAGCAACCTGCTTAATATATATGTCATTGCGGTAGCCCAGTGGTTAAGGCTACGGCCTATCAGGTTGTAAGCGTAGGTTCAAATCCCGCATGGGAAGATTCGATTTTTCCCACCGAAATTACTATTTAATTTAAAATTATTCAAAAAGGATTTAGTCAAATAAAGAACAATAGCTTTCGACAAATGATGTGGTGGTGTAGTGGTTAAGGCGTTCGTCTCCCAACCCGAAGACAAACGCTTCAACTCATGGCAATGCAAAAAAATTAGCCTGAAAAATTTCCGCATGATTTGGAAGCTTTTAAAACAGTTAAAAGACTCCCCGGCCTTTGCGAAAGACCTTAAATTGAAAAAAAAAATTGAAAAAAAAAATTAAAAAGAAATTCTTCCGTTCAAAAGTACCTGAAATTTGAAAGAAAAGCACAAGTAAAAAAAGTTTTAAAAACATGTGTCTTCTAAAAAGCCTAAAAATGAAGAAAGTCAGACAGAAAAAAAAATTAACAATTTCCCGCTTTTAAAAAACTCATCTTTACTTAACTTAAGTTTTTTTCACGAAAATTTGACAGGGTGATTTTCTCGAGACTGAAAAAATTTAATTTTTTTCACTTTTTTGAAATTCTCTTAGATTTTTTTTTTCACGCGGAAGTATTTTGTCTTGGGCTACTGTGTCAAGCCAGACACAGTCGCCCAAGACAGACACAGGTAGCCCAAGACAAAATACTTCCGCGTGAAAAAAAAAATCTAAGAGAATTTCAAAAAAGTGAAAAAAATTAAATTTTTTCAGTCTCGAGAAAATCACCCTGTCACATTTTCGTGAAAAAAAATTTAGTTAAGTAAAGATGAGTTTTTTAAAAGCGGGAAATTGTTAATTTTTTTCTGTCTGACTCTTTTCATTTTTAGGCTTTTTAGAAGACACATGTTTTTAAAACTTTTTTTACTTGTGCTTTTCTTTCAATTTTCAGGTACTTTTGAACGCAAGAATTTCTTTTTAATTTTTTTTTATTTCAAATTTTTTTTCAATTTACGGTCTTTCCGAAAGGCCGAAGGAGTCCCTTAACTGTTTTAAAGCTTCCAAATCACACCGAAATTTTTTAGGTTAATTTTTGTGCATTGCCAGGAGTTGAAACGTTTGTCTTCGGATTGAGAGACGAACGCCTTAACCACTAGACCACCGAATCATTTGTCGAAAGCTATTGTTCTTTATTTGACCTAATCCTTTTCAATGAATTTTAAATTAAATAGTAATTTCGATAGGAAAAATCGAACCTTGCCCATGCAAGATTCGAACCTACCCTTACAACCTGGTAGGCCGTAGCGTTAACCACTGCATGGGCCATCGGATTGTATATTGATAGCAACCTTCTTAATATACAGGGTGTATCAAAAAAAAGGTAATCCAACTTCAACAAGCTATTGTACGTGAACTACTCAGTCTATGAGCGAATTGTTTTCACATTCAGAAAGATCAGGCTTTTAACTATCGGATGACATGTTTTTAATACCAAATGGTGAAAAAGTGAGCACATACGAGGCTGATAAAAAATGTTAGTCGCAATCGCATATTTTCACCTTTGAGCCTAATTAAAGCAGTGCATAACAAAAGGAAAAAACAATTAATCATGAACATGTCACAGCTTGCACTGGTTTTATGCCGCATTGCTTGGAATGTTCTCCTTATTCCTACTTAATATGCATATGCGGGTAGTTTATTCAAAAGCAAAATTCTTCAATTAAGTCCTAAAGAGAGTTAATTTTCAATGGTTTTAGTCCCAACTCTCAGAGGTGAAAATATGCGATTTCGACTAACACTTTTTATCAGCCTCCTATTTGCTCATTTTTTCACCATTTGGTATCAAAAACATGTCATTCGATAGTTAAAAGCATAACCTTTCGGAATGTGAAAAAAATTCGTTAATAGAACAAGTAGTTCACGTACAATAGCGCACCAAAGTTGCATTACCTTTTTTTTGATACACCCTGTATATGTCAATGCGGTAACCCAGTGGTTAAGGCCACGGCCTACCAGGTTGTAAGCCTAGGTTCGAATCCTGCATGGGAAAAGTTCGATTTTTCCTTTCGAAATTACTATTTAATTTAAAATTCATCGAAAAGGATTAGGTAAAATAGAGAACAATAGGTTTCGACAAATGACCTGGTGGTCTAGTGGTGAAGACGGTTTCAACTCCTGGCAATGCAACAAAATTAGCATGAAAATTTTCGGTGTGATTTACTGAAGATTTACAAATCTCAGCCTTTGCGAAAGATTGTAAATTGACAAAAAATTTGAAATAAAAAAACTGAAAACAAATTATCGCGTTCAAAAGTACCTGAAAATTGAAAGAAAAACACAAGTAAAAAAAGTTTTAAGAACATGCGTTTTCTAAAAAGCCTAAAAATGAAGAAAGACAGACGGAAATTTTTTTTAACAATTTCCCGCTTTTAAAAAACTAAAGTGAAAAAATTAAATTTTTTCAGTCTCGAGAAAATCACCCTGTCAAATTTTCGTGAATAAAATTTACGGTAAGTAAACATGAGTTTCTTAAAAGGGGGAAATTTTTAAATTTTGACACATGATTTTAGCATTTTTTTTACTTGTGCTTGCTTTCAAATTTCAAGTATTTTATTGAACGCGAGAATTTTTTTTCAGTTTTTTTATTTCAATTTTTTTTCAATTTACGGGTCTTTCCGAAAGGCCAAGGAGTCTTTTATCTTTTTTAAAGCTTCCAAACCATACCGAAACTTTTCAGGCTAACTTTTTGGCATTGTCAGGAGTTGAAACGTTTGTCTCCGGATTGAGAGACCACCGTGTTAACCACTAGACCACCACATCATTTGTCGAAAGCTATTGTTCTTTATTTGACCTAATCCTTTTCAATGAATTTCAAATTAAATAGTAATTTCGATAGGAAAAATCGAACCTTTCCCATACAGGATTCCAACACACGTTTACAACCTGGTAGGCCGGAGCTTTAACCACTGGGCCACCAGAATAATATATATATATATACATATATATATTTACGCAACATCCGAAACTGAAAATTAAAAGTCACAAAAAATTTTTTAAAAATTTTTAAAAATTTTCCGCTTTTAAAAAACTTATGTTTACTTACCTTGACAGGGTGACTTTCTCGAGACTATAAAAATTTATATTTTTTCACTTTTTTGAAATTCTCTTATACCTTTTATCACGCGGAAGTAGTTTGTCTACTGTTTCATGCAAAATTTTTCTAAATCTCAAAATTAGGTTCAAAATACACGGGAATTGGTTCTGAACTAAGTCAAATTACATTCTTTCATTTTATGCATTTGAACGCATAAAATTATATTTTGATGAATTTCGAAATTTCAAGCAAATCGGGTAACTGGAAAAAAATTTTTCAAAATCTAAAAATTTTGTTCATATATACATATATATATATATAAGTGTATAGTGTGATAAGTGATATAAACTATCGTTATGACAGAAGATATTGTGTATTACAGAACGACATAACACAAAACAAGCTTGCAACGAAGCAAGCTTGTAGGGAAATAAATTTCGATGATGATGATATATATATATATATATATATATATATATATATATATATATATATATATACGTCTTTTTGGCACATCTTGTATAACATTAAGTCGGCGAGGTGAGTTCCAATTTATGCTTGAAATCGCGAGATCGAGCAGTTATAATTGTCCGCTGTTCACGAATATTGCAGGCACCACCAGGTTTATTACAATCTGAACACCTGTAAGACACTGGCTTTAATTTAACAATGGAGCCAAAATATATTCATGATACAGATACTGCCTTAGTATCAATATACAATATACCGCGTCGCTCAAAGTAAAAGGGGTATATCATTTCGTATGGAAACAAAGTATCGTATTACAATGAATTAAATTGTTTCATAATCATAAAGTAATGTAAAAGTTTGAAATGGAACAGACACAATATGGGATATGTTGTTCATATTAAAGATGATAGTATCATTTCAAAAAAAGGTATTTTTTATAAATTCTCTAATTTCTATTGCATTCGTAATACACCTTAGCTTTTTCCTTCGTTAGCTGACTACTAGCTGATGACGTCGTTCTATAGCTTATCTTACATAGTCTGCAGGCAGGCATATCCGAGAATAAACGAGAAAAGAAGTTTCGTTTATCACTTATGTGTTCTTCCTAGCTCGAGCTCATAATTATAATCTGATAGTTGTTAAGTGAAATTACAGTTTTACTCCGTCAATACGCCTGGAGCCAGTTGTACGAAAGCTGCCGGATAGCGCTATCCACCGGATAGTGATTTTTTTTAACCGTTCTATGCTCGAAAAGCGATAAAATTTCATCTTTGGAAACAACAATTACTAAAGAGGATCCTCGACTTAGGAATGCTAAGATTTAATTAAAGTTTTTAAAGCGATTGAAAAAATCATACAACCGGCCCAATAGCGCCGAGCGGGTGCATGAAAAGGCCTGCATGGCCCTAGCCTGACTTATTCACTGTAGTCAGCTCATTAACTGTGTTGACGATAATTGCCCAATTTAATGGTCCTATATAGCCTTTGCCATCATGTCTCTTCAGACTAAGGCCGCCCCCCTATATTAACTACCCTCAGTAACCAGTTGTCCTAAAGAGTCTCCCAGTCGAAACGTCGAGAGGTTTTTTATCTTCTTTTAACGATTTTTTATTCAAACTGCTTTCTGGTTAGTTATATACAAAAGCAAACACCTTACTGAATTAGTGATAGGTGGATAGCAATGACCTAGAAGGAAGGATATGGGGCCAAAGAGTTTCGGTCCAGCCCAGATCACCGATGTGTCATGGTCACGACGTACTACCATTTGGACTGTGCACGTTCCTATAGCTAATAATGTAACGAAATTCGCCTGTTAGAAAAGAGGCTTTATTTAAAGAGTAAGGATTAGGGCGATTATATTGTATAAAAGCTCTGACAGTGATAAGGAGTTCAAATTGTCCTATTTTTGTGAATTGTTTGCACACGCAACATGTTAGCACGCGCCCAACTGACGAATATGCGCATGTTGGCTTATGACGTGACTTTCTACCAGCTTTCTACCAATCAGCACGCGCGATTACCTAATTATCCACGAAAACAAGCGTTCAAATACATTAGGAATGATAAATTCGTAGCTACATTTTTGCGACGTACATATGGAGAATTTTAGAATGTTTTTATCTACATCTAGAACGTGGGTTGTGTAGTTACAAAGCTAGTAAAGGATGCTATCTAACTACAAAGGGACCAGAAATAGCAAGACAGCAAAATGCTATCCGCTTCCGGATGTTGCACAGGTCGTAATAGATCCTGATACTCAGCGAAGATACTTTCGAGGACGACTGCTTGGCAAGGTTTGTCGAGAAATTGTTGCGTATAAGTAATCATTGACAATATAAAAATACCGCAGGAAGTTGCAATTACAAATCAATTTCTGCATTTAAGCTTACAATTGTAACTCATTACCTGTTCTATAATTGTATAATTAAGCTTGCTCGCTTTCTAACAGTAACAGTCGCAAATTTGCTTTTATTTCCATAGGGTGGTTTCGCAAGATGTTATGAAGTAACAGATATGAAAACCAACCAGGCGTATGCATGCAAAGTAGTTTCAAAAGCAAGAATAGCAAAACCGCACCAAAGAAAAAAGGTAAAATATCTCAGTACATTCAAGTTGGTTTAAAATTCCAAGATCCCAAAATAAGATCCCAAAAATTTTTGGCGGTTAAATCAACACAGTTATGCCGCAAATATTAGCCATAATCGCTGACAGAAGGGCGAGAAAAAACTAATATGACTTAACGAGACTTAACTGATATGTTAATGTGAGAACAATCTTGTCGCTGACTTTCAGTTGTGGTTAACAGTAAAGACAGAACTAAATTAATTTTTAAATGACTTATATAAACACTTCCCTGTCCTCGACTTTCCGTCAAGAAAATAATTAATGGCTAATTTTATTCTATGTTTTATAAAGTTTGCATGGGAAACATACGATGTTTACTTATTCTACTGATTTAACTTTAGATCGTCAACGAGATTGAAATCCACAGATCACTAAACTATTCTTATGTCGTCGGCTTCCATGGCTTTTTTGAAGATGATAAAAACGTGTATATTTTGTTGGAACTCTGCAGTCGCAAGGTGAGAGTCCTTAACAATTTATAACAGAGCCGATGCAGTGTTTTTGAGAAGCTGCAAATTCACCTGTTCAGTTCACATTGTCACGCCCAAAGTTCCCACCCGGAGTTTTCCCTGGCCCTTGGGTTGACAACAGAAGGCCAGGTTGCTGATGTTGTATGTAATTGTACTTTTGCGGAACTTTGCAATAATAGAACCTGATGAGATAAAAACACGGTACGATATTTAAGAGAAAAGCAGCTTAAACTATGAGAACTAATATTTGACACAGACTTGTCTCTGTAATTGGTACCTGTAGTTTTTGTGTCTTAGTGATAAACAAATGAATCATTATGTTAATTTCACTCCTTGTAGCAGTTATATATAAGGGCGCTTTCCATCAAGCGGCCAAAATGATCAGACTGGTCTTATTTTGAATTGAAATAGAGTATCTCGTTAAAAACATGCGGTGAAACTGCATTTTCCCTGCTAATCAGATGTAAATAACATTAAATCTGAATGCAGATTTCTTAAAACACTCCAAAATACCAGTAATCTGTCTGTACTGAAATACAACAAAATCGCGGTCTGACCATCTTAACCGTATAAAGGAAGGCGCCCTAAGACACAAGTTTTTAAACAATCTTCCAAAATAATTGTTGCGGTCTCGTGATCAAAGTCGCCGTCCAATTTGTTAAATGCAAAATATGACGTGTTTGATCAAAAAAGAATTAAATATTTTGACTACATCCTCTGATGCGTTAATAATTGTGAAAGATCGTATACCATAAAAATGCGGGTAACAAAAGTTCAAAGGCAGTCTCAGCAGAGTGAAAATAAAAATAATGATTTAATGATTCTTTAGTCCATAGGCATAGGCATAGTCCATCAGTGGGGGAAAAAAGTGCTTTGGCTTACAACCAGCCTGATTGACATTATTTGCGTAAATTTTGTCACGTTTTGTCATGGCAAATGAATAAATTTTGCGAACGACCGTTTTATTTTCGTTCTTTTCATATATCAATATTAGTCTAAGTATATAAGCAATAATTGTAACATGTTTAATTCTAGTCCCTAGTTCAACTACTTAAGCAACGAAAATCTCTGCTGGAACCGGAGGTTCGATACTTCATGAGACAAGCTATAAAAGCCTGCAGTTATCTGCATTCCCTGAATATCATTCATCGTGATATCAAGCTCGGGAATTTCTTCATAAATAACGATATGCAGTTGAAACTTGGCGATTTCGGGCTTGCCTGTCGCGTCGGATCATCAACTTCCGATGAAATGTAGGTTTTAGATTTTTTATGATTTTTTTAATCAGGAACGTTAACTGCATGGATGCTTTTTACTACACATATTGGACTATATACTGAAATAAAACTTTACGAAAATGATCACTGGCAAAATGTGCTAAAACAGCAGGAAGAACATGCGCCTTGCGAATTTCACTACTACCATTTCCGACATTTTCAAATTTAGGACCGTTTGTGGGACTCCGAATTATATTGCTCCGGAGGTGCTGAAGAAAGGTCGTCATGGTTACGAGGTGGATACGTGGGCGTTAGGTTGTGTCATGTAAGTACACGATTCATAAACTGAAATGTATCTCCGTGTGCTCTTTAACTTCTATATTAAGTGGTGGGCAAGTAAAAGGTCCGAGCTCCAGGGTTGGGAGCTAATCCGGTAGGTCCAAGTTGCAAAAATACTATGATGACTTCATTAATAATGCGGGATTAAACGGCTAAAAAATTACGAACGCTCGTCCAGTGTATCTTTTAAGGTCTGTTCACTAATCTAATATTTTATCGAATCCAATTCACTTGTGATGGATGTTTGAGTTGAAATGTATATGGCTGCAAAACAACTAGAGCCAGTTGAGCCAGTGCAGTACTGCTTTTATCAGCTAGACCGTGCACCTATGTCTGAAGTGAGCTGGATCGAAAAAAAAAAAGGATCATGCATGTGAAGAGGACTTTACTTTACGCAATGTCGATATTTACTTTTGTATTAATAGGTACACTCTTCTTGTTGGTCGGCCTCCGTTTGAAACAATGTCTCTCAAAGAAACTTACACACGCATTAAAACCAACCAATATGTCATCCCATCGAGAATTTCAAAATCTGCTGCCAAGCTTATACAGAAATTTCTTAGCAATAATCCTCAAAACAGACCATGCCTTCACACGGTGTGTGAAACGGATGAATTTTTCGTAAAAGGATTTGTTCCTAGTTCATTACCATCGTCGTGTTGTATGGTACCACCGAGGTTCACTGCCTTACACAGATCGTCTTCAAATTCTGAACAGAATGGAACTACGCAATCGACTTCTAATAAGATAAATTATGTTTTCACAAAACTTCAGTTAAAAGATGAAAACACAAATGATCGAACAAAATGGATTGAAAAGGAGACGAAGAGTTCTAGCACAAGCCCAACACAAGGTAAGGGATACATCCAAGCATTGATTGCGTCTTCGTAAACGCCGTAAACAAGCATACGATTTGTGACACTTCTCACTGAATGGGTGGAACTCCTCCATTTAATACACTCGTGTTCTTCTATAATAGACCCAACAATTCATTTGGTCTCACCAGACGATTTATACCACAAACTTTCTGCATGCCTCACATGCATGCCAAAGGCCAGCGATAGTTCACCCTCAGGGGACACCTCGACTAACTCAACAAGTGATGGCAATTCATCAGACACTTTAAAGAAACTTTATGTTTGTAAATGGGTGGACTATAGCAACAAATATGGATTTGGTGCAGAGCTTTCAGATGGCAGTGTCCTTGTCAGATTTAACGACGGAACAAAAATGACACTGACGCGAGATAGACAGTAAGTCATAGTCCGAAACTAACCAGCTATATATGAGGTGTAATGGTTCTGGAACATTGTGATAGCATCACGAATTACCGAAAAGCGTGGTAATTAATCATATATTAGGAATGCTTGGGAAATCTTGTGGGGTTTTTTTGTCAAAAACTTTAGCTAATTATGGATACACATTACACAAGATTTCTGTCACCAACACCCAAGCCTTCTAGCAGGATTTTCTTTTTCTTTAAAAAGACAAGCTTAGCTACGAATTTTATATCTTCAACTAATTGAAATATTGAATCTTTCTCTAGGTTTGTCCGCTATTATGACAAGGAAAAACAAATTTCTTCGTTTCATCCAGAATCAGCACCAGATAAACTTGGAAGAAAAGTGATTCTTTTGGAATATTTTGCAACGTACATGGAAAAACATCTTCTAAAGGTAATATTATCTTTACATTCAAATTTTGAAGTGTCGCACCAAATGTTTGAAAAGGATTGTACCGTTTCTATACTATGTACTATATAAATTAGCCAAAAGAAATAAAACGTTTCACTGTTTCATTTGAAAAAAAATGGCATCGAGATATGTTTTTATTTCAGGGCGCAAGGCAAGAGAGCACACTAAGCACTTTAGACAGGGAATCTGCTCCCTTCCTATCCATCTGGGTTCGAACACAGAAGGCGATGATTCTATACCTAAGCAATGGAATTTTGCAGGTAACGAATGCAAACAAATGAATAATAACAGTCAACAAACGAGTACATGCACCACAAGTACCACGCCTGGTTTTCATCTCATAATCGATTGTAACTTGATATTACCACATTTTGCTTCATTTTAGGTGAATTTCTTTGGTGACCACACAAAAATAATTCTCAATCCAAGTGCACGAGACGAGCTCGTGACATTCATTAATGAGAACAGGGAACATTCAGATTATGTTTTATCGAATATTGTACAATATGGCTGCCCTCAGAATGTTGCTACTAGATTAGAGTATTGTAAAATGATGTTAAGGAAACTAAATGGTTTCGCTTCGGATGAATCGTCGATTTGAGTCATGAGCTAAACTTTTGAACAACTTTTGCAAAGTGCATCCCAATCTGGAAGCATATAGTAAGGAGATTTAGAAGAGTTTTTACAATATTTTTAGAAATACTGCCTATTTAAAAAATGTAATTTTATATTTAGATTTTTTGAAGAATAAAACTACACAAAGGATATAACATATAAAAAATTATTAATAACATGTTTCAGTTTCACTAAGGATTGAGGTTTCGCGTCGTCTACGGTTGGGTCTTACACTCGTTGGGGTCGTTGATTAGAAATTACTATAGTTGCGGAAGGCTTCACAGTAACTGGTGAACACACACAGTCCATCTATAGATATAATCATGTGGTGCAGGTAAATTCAGGTTGATTTTAGCTGTTAATTCATGTTTCATTTTCGGCTGGGAAAATTGGAGTATACCATACGGAAATGCAACATCAGAACATGGAAGCCATCAGGCGTCACTGCTCATTAGGTATAAATCTTAAATGCCACACATGTATTAATAGTAAAAATCATTTTATTTCATACAACAACTTCTAATTTTAACAAAGAGAATAGTCGATTTGGTTCTTATAAAATTGACAACAATGAAATGACAAAGACATACAGCATACACGTACATTTTACCACAATGCAATGAAAGAAAGCAAAAATTGAGAAGAACATTTCTATTAACACAACGGAAAAAAATGACCTCCATTATAGCATAAAATAACTTTCCCACTAAATCACAATTCGCTTTTTTAAACGATTTCGGTAAAATGCGAGGTAAAATGTACATCCGAAATCTTTCTCGTTATAGTCAATTAGATTTATATTGTTTTGTGTATCTATATCTACAATAGGGTAGACTAAAATTACACGAGACTGGATGAATTCGGAATCGTGTACTATTATATACCTGGCGCGGCGCATTTTTCCACGGAAGCATTTGAAGAGAGGTTCAAGAGCCGCTACGATTTTCTTCTTTTGACAGATGTGAGTGAGTAATTAGTTACGAATGCTCACTGAGTGCGAATGCTCTGATTAACAAGAGCTCAAATATTTGAACATCAGTAACTAATTCACTCGATCACATCTATTAAAAGAAGAAATTCGCACATAAAATCGCAGCAAAAATTGCAAGTGTAAACGGGCAATTAATGTTGCTCATCTTTACTCTGTTTATGCAAGAACCTGTTTAGCTTAGGAAAGATTTGAAACTTGTACTGTACTTTTTGCTATTCTTCTCTACCTCCAGCTCTATAACAACACTAAGGTAGGAATAAAAGTTCAGAAAGAAGTCTGGCTCCACCGATCATATATGAGCCCAATAAAATTTGGTTAAAACCTTTTTTTTAGTGTGTGAATTTGTCCGGTTTTAATGACCCCGTATACGAACGTAATCATAAAACGGTACCGAATTCATCTGGTATCGTGTAAAGGGGGCCATAATACCTTATATCCGAGGGTATTCCTCCAAGACTGGAGTATTTTCTATCAGAAATCTGTTACTTTTGCCATTCAACACATATATACAGCAAGCAATTTGTTACTTTAATGCTGATTCTGTCAGCGCATGAACTGGAACTCGTAAAGAACAATATAACGGAAACCATAAAGCTATAACTGATGACATTTTGCCTCGTGGCTGCCTCCTGATCATCCTGCACCAGTGATGTAATTAGGATAACTTAGGGAAACAGTGGCAAGCATGTACGGTCAAAAACTCTCAGTCTGGGGTTCACAAAGTTATTTAATCCTGCCCACATCAACATTGCAACAAGTTGATCTTTTTTGTGTTTTATCAGGTCGATAATAGGGTCAGGGATCAATAGGGTCAATTAAGTGCGTGTTTTTCTTTTGGTAAATTTCATGTATGCCTCCTGTCCGACTGCTTAAAAACTCAAAGCCTACGCGGACGAGGGAAATTAGAAGATGAACACAGGGTTGAATCATAATCGATTTTACACCAGCCTCGAGAGCTTTTATTGCAGGATATAATTTGAAATAAATTTGCGCCTAGGGTGTCCACCGGAGAATCTAAATTGCTCCAGCGTTCAATTACATCACTGCTGCATGAAGAAAACAGAGCGCCTCTATTAGCAGAATTAACTTTGTCGCATTTACTCCAGGAGAACGTATGGTAAAATAATTAGACTTCCTTCATTATAGGACATAGTTTCACTCCAAGAGTACCATTTTCCATCTTCGCCAAAACGGCCGTTAATACCATTAGCCTGAAGCTCAACATCAAGCGACGGACAGGGAGGATTTTCTATATTTTCATCCCCCCGTTCAACGATATCATCCGTTTGCAGTCCAATATCTTTGCCTTCCCACCTCACATCAGTATGATCTGAATTGTTTGTTTCTGCCGATGGTGCTATATCAGCTGTGCTGCATGTGTTTTTATCAATAGTTGCTCTATCGCTTTTCACCAGTGTTGATTCCTGGTGACATCCACCATCATCAGTATTGATTTGTTTTAAAAAGTTAGTTTCGGAATTCTGGGAACATTCTGCAGATGCAGTTAGACTCTCTTCGGAATCGATGGAACTTTGAGTTGAAATCAAACTGCTATGTTGAGATCCATTGTTCTCATAATTCTTTTCATTACATGAAGTATTGTCTTTATTACCCAACTCTTCATTCCCCTGCGTTTCTCCGGGACTAAGACTATCGACACTCAGACGTTTTCGCTTCGTTCCTCTCGCTTTACGATCTAGCTTTGCCGATAGATCTGCTGGTGAATTAGCTTGTTCATCACTTTTAACTGACCCGTTTACAACAGGGGAGTTACAACGTATTCCATTCAAAGGTGAATTTGTATTCCTAACAGCTTCCAAATGGTTTTGAACCAATTTTTGCCATTTCTTTACCAATCGCTTTGCTCTTCTCGCAATGTCATCGTTATCAGTTTTCTTTCGTAATAAGTTAACAGTTCGACCAATTCTGGTTTGCTAAAAGACGCGAAGAGGAAAAGAGAATGAAAATGAGAGCTGTCCTGAAGAAGCAACTTCCAAGACTCCTGAGCCAAATGCTACGGCAGATTCTACTAATAGGCAACATCAAAAGACTTTCAGACGAAATCCAATAATTTAGCATAGTTTACATGATCCTGGTTAACCGAGATTATAGCGTCAAATGATTTTTAAGGCACTGAAAAGTGAATACTGGCAGTGTCGTAGTCATCTCGACACCATCATGCGCGTGTTTAATTTCACAAAGACTATTTTAATACCGCGAAACTCAAATCAACAATCTCACATAACCTGAATTATGTAAACAGGCAATAATAGATTACAAATGACATTTATACATTCAGCGCACGAGACCGGCGGCGTTTCAATTGCGTCTGTTCTATCAAGGTTTGATTCCGCCGCCGGCCATATAGATTTCACTTTCCTAACGTTGTCCATTCTCATTGCCACGTCATTTAAATCAATAAAATAATAGTTTTTAAAAGCAATCATAAGTGTATATTAAGATCACCTGTTGACACTTGATAGTTTCAATCGCAATAAATAATATTAGAAAGCGTGTAAATACGAACCGTAATGTGAATTCAAACCGTCTCAAATTTTGATAAAAGTCAACGAAAGCTTTTCCTCGGCGCTTACTGGTTATGCGAGTTGCATGAGAGTTGTTGAATTTTTTTGAAACTTTTTCTACTTTTTATAAACAGGCTAGACAAAACACAATAAATTCAGCACAATAAATTCAGCACTAATATTTACTAAAATCACAGAGAAAGACAAGGCATGCTACGTAATATAAAATTCCAGAACATTTGTATCACCCAATGAATGTTGTGTTCCCACATATTTTGTTAAAGGAATAGATACTTTAACATACAATTATTCCTAAAAGGTGGAGAGTAAACCTCTTCACATGTAGCAATGCACTCAAACTTCAAGAGGTTTTGACTATTCAATTCATTTATAATATAACTTGCAATTGGCACTGAGAAACTCCTTAGCATAAATTACTTTAAAGACTTCAGTGGCAGATCTAGGGGTGTGCAGAATTTAAATTCAAAACACCTTAATAGCAACATTATTGGTTATAGATTTGAAAAGAATATTTTTGCATTTAAATCTACCAATGCCATTCTGATTTTAAGCTGTAGCAATTTATTATGCACACCCATAGATCCACCACTGAAAGACTTCACTGTGTAACAAAAAGGTTGATGTTTTTAAATGCCTTGTCCTTTCTAACAAGTTTTGAAATTAGAATTATTTTTATTGTTAAAGGGCAGAATAGAATGTTTTATCCAAATACCAGCATAATTTGGGGGAACCAGTAATTTCCATTATCATTTTAACAAGATGGATATTTGTGGAGTTCTTACATTTACAGTCCAAATACTTGCCTAGAATTGCCTAAAAATATGTTGGCAAACACTTATTTACCATAAATGAAAGCCTGCCACTAACCCTAACAAAATGCATACATGTTGAAATAAATCACCCAAGACAATGGCATGGAAATGTGGTAAATCAGGTTGCTTTGCAATATACGAACCTGTACCCTTCAACCTTCAAAATCAATGCATATATCACAAAACCTGGTGAATTTATGTTATACACAAAAAAGCTATTCAAAAAAATAAACAAATGATGATGACCTTTATCATAATCCCACATTGAGACACTATCAGACATGCTGCTGTATGGCAGATTTTTTATTTTGTTAAACGGCATAATATATAAAATGATAATGAATTATCATTCTATTATTTATGAAAAACAACAATTTAACAGTCAATGTGTACTATAAGAGCAATGAATGGGGGTCGAAAAAGAGTATACTAGGCTGTGATGACCTCTTACCACACTGAGTGAACTACTAAAAGTCCTTGAAATGTCCTTGTACCTTATTGCATGATCTTAAATGTGCAAACAAATAATCAGCATCTTTGGCTTGACAATTTTAACAACAGTTTAAATCAAATCATATCAGACAACTTTTAGAACTAGATGAACACTAGGCTACCATCATTCAGCTGCCATGTCTATTGAATAATGTATATTCACGTTCAAACGAAGAAATTAATACCTTAAAATTGGTTTGCAAGTTAATAATTGTAAGTACAGTTCTTTATGTTTCATTAATAGCTGGCTGGCAATTACAACATATATTGTACTTAACAACGGAAAGATAATGTTTAATTTTACTAAAACGAAAAATATATTTATCCAGACACTTAAGTGATGGCTATAGAACGCCAACTATATCAGATAGTAGATTAAAAAATTCTAAACGTGTATATCATAACCATTTTATTCTTAGCTTTTTGGGGACAATGATGGTCTAAAAATATTACCTCTAAAGCTTCCTTTGTTAGCGGAGTACGCTCAAGAAGTCCAATAACCTCTACCACGGCCGCCATGTTTAAAACCTGAAGTAAGATTCGAAATTTCATTGTTAAAAATTTAACATTTTTAGTCGGAAAAAAGTGACAAAATTGAAACAATACATACATTTCCCTCTGGGTCGACTGCTTCGCCTAATTTTGTTTTGATTTCTTGTGGCGAGTGCTGCATTAAGACCCGAAATATTGCGTTCGGAGTCCTTTATCTGGCCATGCAAGCTGAACCAAGACATGACGATCAACACTTGGAGACACCGACCTTTATAATGCCATACAGTCTTGACGTCACATTTCACAGATTGAGATCCCAATGATACCCAGGCTATTTCCGGAGCGTGCTCTTTATGCAATGTCAAATGTTGCTCCGAACGCAAATGCGCTAAATTAGCCTAAATGGAAATAAAAAATCTCTTAAAACTAAAACTAAAAGAGTCGTAGATAAACTACGGTTTACATTTAAAGTCCAACCCATTTCTACTCGAGACTACTCTTTGCAATTTTGCGAGACAAAGTCAGATTTCAGAATTACGATCCCCTCTAACTGCCTAACGGCAGATTTCCCAGTTGGTGAAAAACGTCGGCCGAAAAGTTTGCCCATGGACGCAAGGCACCTGAATTGGTTGTAAATCGAATATACTCGAAAGTCGGGCTATTTTTGCTAAAATCATTCTGCTGAAATTTTTCCTGCACTCGTTCATCCCATCCTCCCCACATTTTTATCCCCGTTTTGCCCCCTCCCACCTCTTGAACTGAATCATCTGCTACTGGTTGAGTATCAAGGCATACTTTATCTGGGGTACGACGGGGGTACCGTAATACCGTCGGCTGCGCGGTTGATTGCATGGCTACGCATCGCATGATCGAACATGAAGTGTATCGAACATCGAACTAAAAGCGTGTAAAATATTCTGAAAGTTCTTGATGCTTTAGGAAATACGGATTCAAAATGTTAACAAAGCGTTTGTAAGCGGACTGTACCCTACCTTTAAAATACCTGCTTAATGATGCTTATGCTGACCAGAATAAGAAAATAATACGAAATCGCATATATTTGCTACATTTGCTACAAATCGCAAACCATATGGCAAACAACGGCAAACACATACAGCACAGCTCGATTTCGATTTCACTGAAATTTGCGACGTCAGTACCGGTACCTATGAAACCTAAGAACATGAAGAAAGCATAGCATGGCAGCATGCACTATGAACCGGATATGGGTAGTTTATGACAGGTGCAACGCTTGTACAAGGGTAAACAGTCGGCCCGAGTCATACCGAGTCGAGGAACCAGCATTTAAAGGATACAAATCCGAATATCAGATACAATCGGGGGGAACCAGTTAACAGTATTCAATAACACAATGAAAAATATCGCAATGAAATTATTAGTAATATGGCTTCCAAAGTGAACGGTAAGAATAGAAAATGGTGAATTTATATTGGAAAAAATATATATATAAAATTACGACACAAAAGAAGCCCAATTGAAGAAATTATTGCAGAAATGAATGATTTGTTGTGAATGATTTGCGAATGTAAATTTAGTAATTGAATACTTAGTATGGTGATATTAAAATTCGATAAACTTGATTTCGTGGTTTTTAAACATTCACGTAAGTATTACAAGCCGTGTCTTTGAATGAAAGTGGGAAATACCAGGGTACGAACACGACGTGTTGCCGTTCTACACGTTTAAGTTCTCTACTATATCTTTCTTGTGGAAGATAATGATGGCTTGAATTTGATTTTAATCTTTAAAACCTAAATTAACAAACATTTTACATTATAAGCTGCAATTTAGAAAACTTAATTATTACTGGATTAGATTTTCGTTATCCGGAACAGAATTTCTTAGTAATCATTACTATAGTGACTATAGTGTTCTATTACGGTTGAGAGCTTCCTAGAATTAGAGGGAAAGAGATTCTCGAAAAGCTGCATATAAAAATATTCTACATCACCTGAGCTTTGAATTACAAAAAAATAGACTTTTCGAAAGGTGGCAACACTATTTTTTTTTACATTTACTGATTATTATTTTACAACCAAACATGCCCAATAATACAGCTATACTGATTTCCTTATCACACAAAATGGGATCAAGAAATATGTTATATATTCGACAATATCCAGAACAGCGTGATATTAATTATGATACTAATTATGCTTACCAAAAATTCTTAACCTATCTTCCAGACATTAATATTATTGAGCAGAATGGAATTGTGCATATTGGTGATAACATAACATACATCAATCGGAGCTGCCTTTGTAATTCAGGTGAGGTAAATTATAATTTTTGTACCTTAAATGAAACTCACCACATCCTAATTTTTGCAAGGTATCATACTATCATATTAGTGAGCTAGTGTCATTGTTTGCAGTATCATACATTTGTAGGTTTTTTTTATTTTGTAACATTTGTAGTTTTTTTTTATTTTGTACTTGTGACACTGTATGCTGAGGACGTGCAAAGTATATGAATGGGCCTACTGACATACTCCAAAACACTCACTACCATTGATTTTACATCTAGGTAACCACCACCATGATTATAACAACCCAGTCCAAGAAACATTATCTTTCAATGCTACACCTGGAAGAATATCAATAGAACCTGTTCGACCAAATTTTCCACTCAATGACAATGACCATAACTCTCATAGGGATACTGTTTCTGATTTTGACTCCGGAGTTTGTGTTTGCGCAGTTCACCGGCAAGACAATCACATTTCACTTGAGAGAAGCTTATCAAGATGTGTAACTAATTTGATCCAAGATAATAACAGTGAATGTACACATTTTGAAGTGCAATTCAAAGTCAAAATTACATGCAAAAAATGTATGGAAAGAAATCTGGTAGCAACATACAACTACACATCAGAAGAATATGAGTGTACTCTTACTAGTTCTATGGATGACTTCGATGAAAATAAACCTCTTCGACTAAATAGGGTATCCTGTCAACCTCAATCAGAGACACCATTTCAGGCATTTTTGGCTAAATCACAAAACATTATAAAAGAGGAGGGGAATTTTATTCGTATCATCACTAAAATTTATGAAAATGGTAGGAAGGTGAGAATCAAGCTTCGTTTTGATGTCCGAAGCAGTGTGAAAAGACGCGCTAAAAGTTTCTCAGATTTAGATACTTTGAAACAGGTGCAAGTGTCAAAAAATATCTCTAAAAAATCAAATAGTTTTACGAATATACATGAAAAGTGTTTTTCCAAGTCCTGTACATCTCTTGTTGGTAATGCACATTCCAGAATCACTATTCTTGATGGCGAAGCAAACGTTGAAGATTCGGCGAATTCTGAAGAAATTCTACACAAGATTGACAAGAATATTTGTGAACTTGGTGATGACGTGACCGATGGGGCGGATAAAGCACTGAATGGTTTTCCGGACCGTGAATATTTTTCCAGCGGAAAATTTGGACATTTGTACAAAGGTAAAATTGGATCGTGTGAACAGACCTTTATAATTTTACCTCTTTTAGTGCATTGGTCGAATAACCCTCTTTTTTGAGGATGGGTAGCGTTTTCCTTCGTATAGAAAATAAACCGCTGAACACGTACCATCGCTCCCCACTATGTGAAAGTTACTGTGTGAATCGACCACTAGTCAATTACTTAACTGTTTTCTATCTGTGCTATCTGAAAGTGTTCTTCACTGCATAGTTTGTAGGGAGGGAAGACACCAGTTGATTAAGGTTGTGCCGAAAACAGAACCAGGAAACGAAACATTTATAGAGGTTTGTTTCGTTATATGCTCAACTATATGATAAGAAGCTTTTCTCTTCACCGAGACGAGGGGTGCGTTAATTTTTTGCTGTTGGTTAATATATAATGCCATAATAGATATTTTCTTTTTTTTTTGTAGGAAGCAAAGCAGTTTTGTAAGTGCAAGCACCCGTTTATTCGCCCTACTGTCGGTATTATTGAAGGCAATGAAAAGTAGGTATTTTGTGTTAAAATATTGGGAAACATGCATATAATGGTTCGTGACTTCGTCCAATACAAATTTGTCTTTTAAATCAGATCATTAGTATTTTACTGGTTTCTGGATGGTCAGTCTCTATTCGAAGCAATAGAAGCGAATGTCATTAGAAATTACCTTACCTATTTCCGGATACTATACGGCATAGTAAAAGGACTGGCATATTTGAAAGGCATGGGGTAAGTATAATTATTTTAATAATCACGACGTTGTGTCCGACCCTCATTTGTTACCTCGCGAGCTACTAACTTACTTATATGTACATAAAAACTGTTGGTCTTATCTGATGAGATTTGTTTTAATTTTTTGTCTGCTAGAATTACTTGCAAGTTTCTGACTCCAGAGAAAGTATTGCTGGACAGTTCCTTCAACCCTCGTATTTCTGGTGTTGGCCTGTCATATTTTAAAAGTCCTGAAGATACACAAACCCAAACCAACCATGCTCACGGCTTTCATAGATCTTTATCCTATCTTGATGTTAACTTGAGAAGTAGAAAAACTATTCATCCGAAGAATGTGCTGTGGAGCGTTGGCATATGTAAGTGTATTCGCTTTTAAAGGCGAATTATGTCGCTTTTATAAGCGACATTATATTATCAAGAAAGGCAGCAAAATAATTTATTATACCGGGTCGGGTAACTACACACATGCACCCTTCCACAATTGTATATTGCAATGTTCAGTATTTATATAAATTTCCTCTGTAGGTATTTGGGATATGCTTTTGGGAAAGATATGTCAGAAGGCTGGACAGGAAGATATCTTGTCTGAACATAAAATACTTACTTATCTGGAGACACCTTGCGACTCACAAACAATTAAATCTGCTTGTTTCAGTGATAAACTACGAAAAATTGTTTATGGAGCGGTAAGCAATGGGTATTATGGGTTGTATATGTAACATCTGTAAACGATCAAGTGGAATACATGGATTCATTCAGGACACCTTACTAAATATTTGCTTTTGGCAAATGGCCTCGGCCCTCGTTTTTATGCACGTTTGTCAGTTTTAAAGCATATGAAGTTTATATTGAATAAACGGTATAAGGTCTAATATAAATATAAGGTCTAATTGTCTGTTATTTTTATTATTTACGTACACGTCAACAGGGTTGGCCTCGTAACAAAGAGATTACCAAATCGCTTGTAGTTTTAGCAGTAAGATGTATGATGTTGGATCTCGAAGAAAGAATGAGTCTAGAAGATCTTTCTAATAAATTGGAGGTGAGATTTAAAAAAAAAGTGATTGCTCCATTTTGCGATTTGGTCCGCCACATTGATTGAGTAATTCTATTTGTAGATCGAATCATGTGAACTCCGAAAGAATGAAAAAATGTCTTTGTATGAAAACGTGGACAATCTGTGCCTTTACTGCATAAACAATGCAAAAGGTAAACCTTTTTTATACCTGAGTATACGTAGCTAAAACCATAATATGCTATTTGTACAACTTATGATCTGTAATGTATAAACGGAATAAGGTTTCCCTCATAAAATTCGTTCGTTTTTCAAGGTAATCTTTCATTGACATGTGGTTGTGCAACAGCATGTTATGATTGTCTTCGTAATACTGGGGCGTTGGAATGTCCGGAGCATGGAATCCATCATTCAAAAATTGGTTAGTTATATATTCTTATAATTCAATGTATGAGGTGGAGGGGGAGAAATGCTTATATTTAATATAAGTGGTACAGGGGGAGAACGGTCCAGGTGGGAGTTCAGTAACCAAATCTTTACTTTACTATAGAGTGTACTCTTGAGTGGTAAAGATTTGTTTCTCATCTCCCTTGTATATAGGCTTCAATGATTAGGCCATAAGCAGTTTAGGCTCCCTTTCTTCCTTACAAAGTGCTCTTGAAATCATTTCTATTCAATCAAGTGACAAGAATAGCGGACGGCAGCATGCGTATAGGATATAATATGTGTGTGAACAAAGACTCCTACTGTGTGGTTCTACTGCCCCACCCAATGATGTGAATGTTCTGTTATTAAATTTTTGCAGGTCATCCCCTCGCATATGGTCTTATCATACAGGGAGAATTCACCGAAAATAAGCGTATCACAGAGAATGATTCTGTGGCTATGGAACTTCTTTTCAACGACAAGGAAATTTTTGCCTTTAAGAATGGGTAAGAGAAACGCAATTTATATAATAAGGGCCGATTTACATGGAGCGAGATATCCTGGCTAGGCGAGGTGAAAACTGCATGTAATGAAAGACTAATCAGGTTAAGCCTTTGATGTGATACTTTTTACCTCGCCTATAGCAGGGGTACCCGTTCCATGTAAACAGGCCCTAAATAACTGCTAGAGGACTGATAGCAATAGCTCTCTGGTGGTGAAGCACTCCACAACAGTAATTGTAGCATGCTGCATGCCATTCAACACAGTCGCTATTTTGGCTTTATTATTCAGTACATATATGCATTATCCAATCGTAAAATATAATTAAAATTTTAAACTTAATGCTATCTCTTGACCTGCATAGAAATATGAGACGTTTAAATATGAAAAGTCAAAGTGAAGCCTTTGAAGAATTAGGAAGAATTAAAAAGAAGATTTTGGAGGACAAGAAGAAAAAAGAGAACGAAAAGTACCCGACAACATTGTTGCTTCACCTCACAGGTCATTGTAATGAATCTGGTAGCTTGATCCTGCAAAATGGTGATAAACCAAACGATAAGAAAATCTTTAAGAAAAAAATCCTTTGTGAGTTCATTCGCGATGTAAATCCTAAGAATCTAGTCGTATTCGCTAATGGTCATTATTCGGAAAAGTTGGTAAAAAGTCTTTCAGAAAGCCAAAAATGTAATTTTTTTACAAACAACAGCAAATTCTTTGGCGTGTTTTCACATGCAGGCAATTTGTGTGGAATGTCGCACGAAGATATCAGTGTTGACAACAGTATTTTTGTAAGCTTCATATTAGATATCCTTAAAAAAGATGCAGTTTCCTCCGGTTCAAATGGAGCGATAAAAGACAAAAGACATCTAACAGCATCAGAGTTCACTGCAGAGATCAGTGAACGAATGAAGACGAGATTTAACAGATGTTTGAAGCCAATTGACAAGGACGGCCGTGATATTCCAATTGCATACATTTGAATAGTTGTGCATGGTGATTACAGTACAGCACGAACGTAAACTGTGTAAATTTGTAAAAAGAAATCCTATTCATTAGCTCTGTTATTATATAGTAATTGTTTGATGGTGGGTGATCCCAATAACTCATATATAGAAGCATTTTTCAGCTAGAAACGCAGTGGAGATGTTCATTCAGGACGCAATACTTTGATATAATTAATTTAATATTTTTATATGCTGTAAAATGTTCACAATTGTTATATTTAAATCTTTATAACATAGATGGTTTTCATGAAGTATGTTGTAAGCCAGCCATATTGTTGTAATTTTTAAAGAATATAAAAATGGATGAAAACATTGGATGAAATCATTTTGCGTAAACGTGCATGCATTCGTGAATTTAATTGACCGCGGCGAGTTTCTTTCATAAGTGGTAAGTACGGTTACGCAAGTAAATGAAAAAAAAACAATCACCAACATTGCTTTCCTCGAGAAGGGCCTATACAAAGGCCCTCCGGTAAAAAGTGCAAAGGCAGTAGTAGTAGACGCAATGGCATGACCAACCGAGGTCGACCAATCACAAAAGGCAACCCAGGGTTAACGCATATGCCAGAAACCTACTTTTTAAGACGGAACTGCGTAGAACTCTTCTTGTTTAAACAAACTTATTTGTTTGTGCTATCAAGCGGTATCGATAACAAGTAATCGGTAATCGCTCCCACCACTAGGATATACAGAACATTTTCGACCATAGAAAGTTCTACATAACACCATGCAGACGCATGGAGAGATGATATTCACTTTCGTAAACCTTTGACAGAATTGGCCCGATTGGGTGCAAAATAAGCACACGTGGTCTAAATTCTAATTTGTACAGTGTATAATGTTGTTCTTTACAGGTAAGAAATTCTAAAATTATTCATTAAATCATCAAGACGTATAGGAGATGAGGGGTAATGGTCAGTACTTCCTATAGAATATATGGCCAGTGTTTTCCAATAGAATAAGACCTCTTTCCGATGGAACACTCCGAGTAAATAGACTTTACCTTTTACAACTAACACAATGTCATTATGTCAATGACAATGGCCTCGTTTTTGTGTCAAACACTAATGCTTTGTGTTTAGTAAGGTTGGAAATTACGTTGAGCCCAGAAAAATTGGGCCTAAGATTCTGAAGAAACAATTTCGTCCAGGAAAAAAGGAAAAGATCTTTATCTGTCTCCTAAATAAACGAATATTAAAACGAGGACATTGGGTCTGATTGTGAGTTATACTTCTAATGTTTCTTTTGTACAATATCGGTTTGAGATACCATATTTCTAAATAAAAATATTGTCTTTTTTTACACATGCAGTGGGAAAATCCATTGGTTGATCCTAGTAGAAATCGTTGAGCGATGCAAATAGTAAAATTCGTTCACTGAGTAATTTCTTAATTTTTTGTCTGGCCAACAACAGCAAGTGCGAATCGAAGCACCTTCTCAATTTATTTGATTCTGTTCGACACTTTAACAATTCTATACATGTTATTCCTCAAGTAAATGATGTCGAGAAATCATCAAACTGAAATGAAAAAAAGTATTGAGTAATTGCGAAGAACCAGAAATTTGGATCAATTCAAAGGCTACGTTTACGCGGGGTCGGACTGAAATATTACCTTGTTTTTTTCGTCATCTTTTTTTTCATCACTCGAAGATGAATTGGCATTAAAAGGTGAACTAAACGATGCTTGAGCATCGAATGCTGGTGTCATGGCGAACGGATCATGACCTGAAAACGGATCAAAATCATCACTGCCTGGTTGAACACCTCGATTGAAAGATGTCGGTGAAGTAAACGGATCGCCTGCGATAGGTGTTTGAAATGGATCCGACCCTGCAAAGGGATCTTTGAATGGATCACTATGATCAAACCCAGATGCCTTGGGGGTTACCACAGTTTCAACGGGAGAGGTACTCTCGATATTATCAAAATCAAAAGTGTCAAAGTTAGCTTGAAACACCGGTGATCCAGCGTCGTCGAATGATTTCCCATCATTCTCTGGTAAGCTCGAAAATGCTTCCGTACTCGTTTCTTGCATGGTATCCACAAACAGGTTTTCAACCAAACCGTTTTCTTCCAGGTCTAGTCGCGGCGGAAGTTCTGGCGGTTTACGTGAGATTGTTTCAGCAACCGATTGTGCGTTCATAGAAGGCCTTGGTGGAAGAGCTGGTGGAATTTTAGGAGCAGTTATGGTATCAATAGGTTCCACAGAAATAATAGGTCGTGGTGGTAATGGTGGTGGTGAGAACTCATTTGGTGATTGCGCTCTATTATTATGCTGGGCAGCAGTCTTCAACGTAACATACACATCATTTGATGAAAAATCGAAAGCGTTTTCTTCGCTAACGTTTACGTCCATACCATCACCAGTTTGTTCAACTTCATTTTGGTCTTCCAGATGTTCACTGTCTGTAATGAAAGAATTGTCTGCCTCTTGAACAGTTTCAGTTGTGTTTTCATTTGGCAGCGTCGTTAGGTTTTCATTTTCCTCGAGTGTTTCAACAACTTCCTTCTCTTTATCTTCCAGTTCTACATTTGCGTCGCCGCCTGATTTTTCAAGATCGACCTGATTCGTCGTCGGAATGCTATCTAGTTTCTCCTTTTCATCTTCTCCTTTATCAGAGTTTTCATTCTCAAACTGTCCCTCCATTTTAGCCTCAAAAATCTCTTCAAATAAATCATCTTCTCTATTACTGCTTTGATCATTTTCACTGTTTGATTCGTTAGAAACGTCTTCTATCTTAAACTCGAAATCGTTTGTATTGCTGATATCACTAAAATCCGCAGTAAAAGGATTATCAATTTCAGCAAAAGGATCAGCTTTTGTATCAATTTTCGTGGCACATTTAGGAGAGAATGGATCATCCTCGGTGAATGCGTTAAATGCTGATTGATCAAATTCACTTGTACCAGCGGTACTTGCAAACGGATCCTCATTGGGAAATGCGTCTGCAGGAGCATCAAATGTGAACGTGTCTTTCTCATTTTGTTTGGAAGTTTCAAAATCTTCATTCTCAGTCTCAAAGTTCACCTCAAATGACGCTTGGGTGGCAAATATATTTCTATCAGTGGTAGTGGAAGTTTCAGCCTTAACGCTTTCCTCACCGTCAGTTTGCTTTTCGATTTTAAATTCGCTTTCAAACGATGTAAGGTCACTTGCGCCTGTATTGACAAGAGACACCTCTTGAGCATCTTTCTCACCAGATTCAAGCTCTACTTTTGCCGAATTAAAATTCTCATCCTCCGTTTTCGAGGTATCTATGGTGAAATCATTGGGTTGTGCTTGTGAAGAGGGAAACTCTTCCTCGTCATCGCTCGCAGTCTTAATTTCAAAGTTTGTTTCGAATTCGGTCTTGACTTCAGTATTCACAGAAATATCACCAGCAGCATTAATGGCAAGTTGGTTCAACGTCGACATCGGTATTTCGTCAGAAACAGGTTTGTTAAATTTCTCCGAATCGTTAGAAGATTCAGAAGCTCGATGAAAAGCCTGAGAACTTGTAAACCCATTTTCAAATGGGGGAAACTCAGCATGAAATGCGTTTTGATTTGGGATTTCCTCGGTGGTAACTGACATGGTCGGATCAAAGACAGCTTCAAAACTAGAATCATTTGTTGTAGGTGTAAACGGCTTGTCTCCAGAAGCCTGAGAATTTCCTTCCATACTTAAGGATAATGCAATAGCAGTGGCGATGTCTTCCTTTTCTCTTTCACTTATCTCCTCATCCCGACGTGGAACCTGGTATGAGATATATTCTCGGTAAAGTATTCAGGGCATAACTTAGAATCGATTGTACACTTTGTGAATTAGAGATTATTATTTGATTTTCCAATGGAATATGTGACATAGGAGAGAATATACCTGATATTTATTACTTCCAGTGCCACTTGATGCCAAAGCAGGTTGATCGGATGGAATCTAAAGCAGTATTAAATAATGCAATTTCTGACGTCAATACATTACATGATCGTCTTACAGTGATGAACGCTCAACGTAATTTCGTAAGTAAATTCATTAGGTATAAACAGTTTTTGAGGAAGAGCTATATACCCAGGGATTAATCCAGGGCAGTTTGTAGGGGGGGGGGGGTGCAGTTTGTAGGGGGGGGTGCAGTTTGTAGGGGGGGAGGGGGTAGGGTTGTAGGTCAGCTGACAGCTATGGGGTGTGGTAGGTACAAGTACCAGATGTAGCAGACAGATATTAGAATGTTCAGTATTTTTGTTTAAAAATTTCTAAAAATTAGATTGTCAGAACTCAGATTAGATTCGAAACTCTCAAATTCACTAAAATAATTAAAATTAGGCCTTCTATTATTTTCCAAAAAACTTACAGTGAAGTCTGACGATGCAGGTCCTGAAGGGGTGGACTTGAGAAAAGTCGGTTCCTAGAAGAAAATAGTTCTCAGATGATTGAGATATGGTGAATTAGAATAGTTTGAACTAAAGGAATTAAAACAAAACAGAATATGGCAGTACCGCATATAAATGTTCATCTGGTGAATACTGCTGTTGATCCCCACCAATTTTGTTCGACATTTCTTCAAAGCATTTAGGAAAAAATATTTTAATAAATTTGCAGGAGGTAGAATTTACAGTCGATAAATTTCCATGTTTAAAAAAACATGGAAACTATTTAGAAACATGCATCTACATGCACAATTTGAACGTTTTGCAAGCCTTTTACAATCTTGGTGACCATGGTCTATAGGGCTGTACATCCCTAAAAATCTGCCATGCATTTGGTTATGTTATTGTTAAATATCAAAAATGGCAAAGTTTGGGTAGTTTAATTTTGGTGGTTTAATACATTATGCAATAAATTGTATATATATACAACTTTTATCCTGGCATATGTGTAAGTATCAACAAGGACACAAATATAGGACAAATATTAACATGAACAAAATGAGTGTGATCTTGTCAGGAGGCACTCTAAACGTGGCACTTACCAAGTAACATTTTATTTTGCAATGGTTCCAGAGGTTGATGTTGTCTTTTGTGTGAACTATCTTTACCCTGAATTTTTTTGTTCTCCTGCATCTTATACACAACTTGAAAGAGCTCATAGAGTTGAACAGTTATCACATCAGCCTATTGCGATATAATTAAATTTTGTAGAAATTTAAGTCTAACAAGACAGTTTTCTATACACCAGAAAAATTTTTTGATGGAGAAGACTTTTCACTTAATATTACTTTCACTTAATTTTCACTTAATTTACTATAATAGTTATAGTAAATATTTATGCATTCTAATTGGGTTACTGAGAATGTAAACACATTTCCAGATTGGTCTTAAACAAAATCATTCTAAAGTGTTTTCTACTACGATTTTTAGAATATGCTACTTACAGACTTATCGGATTTAATTGCATACAGGTAATATTTCCTGGCCTCATTTGCTGCAGTTCGAGGTGGACTGTAGATATATCCAAATACATGACGGTCTTCAGGGTCATGAGATATAAATGATATCTTGTGGATTGGGTGCTCATGTTCAATTGTCTAAACCAAAATTCAGTTTAATTGCTACAGCAGTGTTTAACTGTATATATGCTAGTGGTAACAACTGATAATTCTGAGTGTGAGGTCTGTACTGTTAAATATCAGACCAAGGCTTTTTAGTATGGACTGAGCAACAAAGGAGTAAGGTTCATGCAAAAAAGCTCGGTCTGATATTTCACAGTACAGATTGAACAAGCAAGGTCAATAATCTGTTTATTATATGGCTGAATTGCAAGAGACATCCGGGATACTGGTCTAGATACAGAATATACGGACCATGGTCGGATATGGGTTTTTACGGACCACTTGCTAACCAACCAGAACAAAGAATCTTGATAAGCGATATAAATGATATAATATAATTAAAATTATTATGCCAGTATAAATATTTGCAGTGATGTTGCTGTTTTTTCAGTATATATAAAGAGTAGAGATGGGAAAGTGCAAAAATCATGCAGTTAAAATGTCACCATGCACCACCTTTTGATGATCAGTATAAAGAATATACTAGTACCACAAAGATAATTTTACCTGTGTTTTTTCGTTGTACAGTCTTACTCCTTGCAGAGTTATATTAAATGTTATCTTAAGCTTATGCTCATTTGCACCTTTTTTCAACTGCTTGGCATGTTGCTGCAATAAAAAATAATCTGCAGTCATAAAACAATTATGTACACTTGTCAAAAGTACAGTAGTATGTACAGACAGTACAGTAGTTCAAACGTACAGTAGTACAAACATACAGTAGTAGGTACAGTCAAATTACAAAAATGCAAACACGATTATTTGTTGAATTTTTAAATCATGAGGAAAACAAATGCTAGAGTTACATTTAGTATATAGAGCACAAACAATGCAATATGGAATTTATTCTAAGGGGTTACAAATGATATTGAACAACTGAGCGTAGCGAACAGGTGGGATATCACTCTTACTTTTATTACCTTAAACTAATCACAACTGGAAGATTTAAAAAATCTTATTTAAACCTATTACCTGATTGGTGGTCAAACATTGAAACACAATAATTTAAGATGTGTAATTATCATGAATAATTGCACATGTGTTATTATTGCTTTTCACAATGGGGGATTCACAAATAAAACACTGCATATTATGCAATAAATTTAATACACATGTAATAGCAAAGTAAATGATGCACTTTACAAGTAACACTGGATATTATACCATACAACTTGCACAAACCTTGAGCTTTTGAATAGCTTGAATAGATGAATGATCACCTCTTGGGCCAGGCACTTCAACAAAGCCGAATAACTAAATGAAGTGTAAGAATAATGAAAGTTATTTTTCATTATATTACTGTGTTATGGCTATTACAGAAATTTTAATTGATATAGTGTGATTTTTTACTTTAGAATGCATATCAGCCGGGTATATTCAATAAGTATATATTATAAAGTATATATTTAACTAACGTGTCCCCAGTAGGTAGGGGGGGAGGCAAAAGAAAAGCCACCCAGCATCAAAGTGTTCACACCAGTGGTTCACACTAATTGTTTACTGGCTGCCAAGGTAAAGAACATAATAAGGGCAAGTAAACAGCAGACAGTCATCTATAAACTTGTATATTACATACACTGAGCAATATTGCTAGGACCTAGAATGAGAAATATCACTTTTCTTTCCTCTAAGTACTTTCACTGTTTCAAATACTGTCTAATTCCTAAGTGGTGGTGACAGAAACCAATTCCATACTCTCATTATTCAAATAAACAGGTATAATTTACTTACTTTAGCCTTGTAACTCAGCCCTGGTCCCTCAAATTTAGCATGATTCAGTACAACGTCTTTACCTTAACAAAAATGTTAATAGCAATTGATTTTTCTAAATAACATTAAGTGCTTTTATTGCTCATGAATATCAAGAGCACAAACTGCATATGTTTTTTATGGCGAAAAATTATGTTTTAACTAAAATATTTGAAATTCCAAGCAGTGATCATAAGCAAACTTTATACACAAAAATACGAAAAGCATAGCTATGCTCACCTTTTCCTTTAGGCGCCTTTCCTTTTGGATTCTTGTCCTTTTCCTCCTTCTTATTTCCTTTTAATTTAGTTTTTGTTTTAGCCGCAGCTGCATTGCTCTCCATTATGAGCCAACTAATTTAATAACACGTCTTTTACATTACATTTACGACCAAGTATTCAGCTAGCTTTCCTTTAAGGTTTACTATACCATTTTACGAGGAAGGAAATACGAAACAGGACTATCCATGTCCCCAAAAGCCCGTCTATTTACCTAAAAAGACACTTTCAAAATCCCCAATTCAAGTGTATCTACTATAGAGGTTGGTAATGTTGGTTGTTTGAGTGCTTTGCCAATTCGCTAATACGGTGGTATTTGTAGCAATAGTGAGTGTTGAGGGTTCTTTTCGACTCGGGGTTGGGGACACTTATGGTCAATAATGAATATGCAAACCGATTTAGATATTGTAATTTATTGTACATGTTATCATGGTATGCTTTGTGAATATATGCGGCTTGTGGATGTATATCATGCTATCTAAATAATATTGAAAACGTACATTTAAGATAAAATCCACTCATAGAATGAAACTGTTATTAAAAATGAAAGTACTGTAAAAAAAGAGATATTCAATATCAAATTGGAATCAGATGGGAATATGTTGGTATTGTTGTACATCGAGGGTATTCGGGGGTGAGTTAGTATAGGAGTAAGTAAGGATAGAAAATTCGAAGTGGAATATTAGAAAAAAAGATGGAGCCGAGCGGGAAAGTGTCAGTTGTTCAACTTCGGAACTTAGTCCGGAGTTATATCGATAAACATTTGTATAAAACAGCTTTATTTTGGGCTGAGAAGGCAATGTCTTTATCGAATGATGAACTTCAGGATGTTTACTGGTTTGCCCAGGCTTTGTTTTACACAAAGCAATATGAAAGAGCTGTCCATGCCCTGATAAGCCGTGGCCTTCATGAGAATAATTTGGCGTGTCGTTATCTAGTTGGCAAGTGTTATGCGGAATGTAAGAAGTGGCAAGAAGCTCTAGATGTACTGGAAATGGAACAGAAATACTTAAAAACTAATTTATCATCAGAACTTTGGGCTGGAACTGCAAGCAAGAAACTTGAAGCCGCCGTCAATCTCTTAAGGGGGCTAGTGTACGATGCAATGGACAATGGTCCAATGGCGTGTGATTGTTACAAAGAGGCTTTGAGAAATGATGTTCATTGTTATGAAGCATTTGATCAGCTGACATCACACCATATGTTGTCTCCAAATGAAGAATTAGAATTTTACAAATCATTGCCTTTTGAGGAACAGTGTCTTCCTGAAGAGATCCCCTTAATGAAATATCTTTATGAAATGAAATTGCAGGACAGTGAAAAGTCAGTGAAGTTGCCTACACCATGTGAATCTGTGAGCAGCAGTTTAGATGTTGCTGTATGTATGGCAGAAAAGCAATTCTCAAAATGTGATTTTCAGCTGTGCTATAAAATGAGCAGCCAAATAATGCAAAAGGATCCTCTTCACAGTGCATGTTTACCATTGCATATCTCATGTATGGTAGAATTAAAGAAACCTAATGAGCTATTCTTCCTTGCTCACAAGTTGGTCGATAATTATCCAGATCAAGCAGTATCATGGTATGCAGTTGGCTCTTACTATTTTCTCATATCAAAGTATGAAGCTGCACGTCGATTCTTATGTAAAGCGACAACCATTGACCGCAATTTTGGTCATGCATGGATTGGATTTGGTCATGCTTTTGCCATAGAAGGTGAACATGACCAAGCGATGGCTGCCTACTTTACAGCATCAAGATTGATGCCAGGTGCATACCAGCCTTTGTTGTATGTTGGTATTGAGTACAATAAAACCAACAACCCAAAGTTGGCTGAAAGGTTCTTCAACCAAGCATTGGCCATTGCACCAGATGATCCAACCATCAAGCATGAACTTGGCCAGATTGCCTTTCAGAATGGCAATTATGTCAAGGCTGAGAAATGTTTTAAAGAAGCTCTAGAGAAAGTGCAAAGTTTGAGTGCAGGTATCATCCTTGCCACATGGGAGCCATTGGTGAATAATCTTGGTCATGTAATTAGAAAGCAAGGAAGATATGAAGAAGCACTTGAGTATCATCAGCAAGCTTTAGTTCTGGTGCCTCAAAATTCAGACACCCTTTCAGCTATAGGCTTTATATATAGTCTACTTGGCAATTATGAGCAAGCAATAAGTTATTTTCATAAGGCATTAAGTCTGAGAAAAGATGACACATTTAGTGTTCAAATGTTGGGTCAAACATTAGAACAGTTCTCTCTGGCAATTCTCCCTGATGAACCAGAAGAACAAGTGCCTTTAAGTAGCAATGTTGTTAATGAAAATGTTAGAGGACAAAGCATGATTGACACTAGTATTGAAGATGTAAGCATGGAAACATAAAATTTGGTTACTTAATTCTGGATAAACACTTGGTGATGAAGTATTGATGATTTGTGTTGTAAAAATTAAAATATTTTTATGACTAAATAGACAGGCCAAGTAAATATTGTACAAAATCTAATTGAAAATATTTGCGGTGTTACCAATTTTCTTTGAATTATTAGATTGTTAACTTAATGAGAGCTCATATTGCAAAATGACCAACAATGGAAACAAAGAATTATTATTCGGCCTATGTTTAAATTTAATATGCATGACACACTATTTGTCACCACAACTAAACAATGAAATATAGTAATAGTAGAATAATTATTATCAGGGTTGTAATTATTACTCTGGGTCTGAAAAGATTTCTTCACTACTGACATAGCTGTTCAATAAATTTAAAGTAATTATACTTTATGTCATACTCCATATCATACCAAAAGTTGATTGCAATGGTAGCTTGTGTTTGTTGGACATGATGGAACCACAATGATGGGAGGTAAAGAACATCTCCTTCTTGTATTGTACAAGTGACTGCTTTTGCTTTAGCAAACTCAGGATAAGTTTTGTAGTCCGGGTTTAGTGGATCTACTGGTATCCATGGAATTGCATCACTTTTTTCAGAGATTATCTCAAACTTGTTAGATTTGTTTTCATTATAACGAGCTACCTTGAAGTTTTGATGGGGTATATAAGGCATATCTGTCGGAGGGTATAGTTTAAATGTTTTTTGGCCTGATATAACACAATAAAGATTCTCATAATGATCTTTATGAAGTGATGTTATTGCCCTATGATCTCCCATCCAGAAGTTAACAGCATCTGGTTCTTTACCAAAGGCTTCTGTTGCCCATTTAATGTCTGTCTCAGCATCACCAATAATTGCAGAAAATTCTTCAATGAAGTTCCCATTTTGTTTCTGAATATAAAAAATCCCAGATTTCCCCAAGTGAGGAAATTCCATTATGTCTAAAAAATCGGAAAAAAGCAATCTTCTCTCTTCAGGTAAGATGAACTTATTCTCATACACGGCATCTGCCAGGCCATTAGGTGTGACAGCTACACTTACTTCTTTGCCCCCAAGTTCTTCCCTGAGGTAAGGTAAGGACCACTTCTTTAGAGCAGCCCAATGATTGATAGAATTCTTGAAAATCACAGGGATGTTTGGGCACACCCAGTTACGATGAAATTCCAGTGGTGTGGGCGCGCCTTCAAATTCGAATATTTTCTCAGGTAAATACAGTTCTCTGGCCTCACTCGTCAGGCTTATAAACGCCTTCGAAAGACGGTCATCCCTATTACATAGCGTTAACCCCTCACTATAGATCGCAGCCATATCCTGGATATTTTGGATTTGCGAGACAGTCATTGTCTCACTGAGCGCTATAGAGTATAGACAATGACCGTATAAGCCAAAAACCCATACGGCAAAAGATGATTTTGCAAAAAAATTAAATCAACAAGTCAACGACGTCCGGCCACAAGACAGGCTTCTCTACATTCAAAGTATGATATTTTGTCACCAAAAACCTCAAGGCCACCATTTTGAAAACATTTTCAATGGCGAAATAAAATTGAATTAATGACGATTGAACGAAGATGATACAATTTTACACTGATTCAACGAGACGAAAGAGTTATATTACATAGAAATAAAAAATGGGATATTGAGCAAGTTACAGAATGCCTAATGAAGCTCTTAATCCATTGCTTAACGCCCGAGATCGGCTGTTTCGCGTACTTTTTTTCAAGATATCCCTTCTTTATGCAAGAACTCTGTCCCCATCTGTAAGGACATTGATAGAATTCGGCATTTTAACCAAGGTACCATATTAGTAATACATGTTAAATCGTTTTCTTTATGAAACTGATGACTCCTTTGTGTGACAGCTTTGTTGATCAATATTATTTATAAAATAAATGTTTTGTTTTTATATTGGGAAAGTTGGGCAATTTTTATTAGTATCTGTTTATGTAGTCTCACACCACAGTTGCTCACACAAATGGCCTTTGGACATGCTCCCTACTCATGATCTTGATGGTTGAGTTCACCAAGATCATAGGTAGGCAGGATGAAAAGTTCTGTGACTGAATGCAATGCACTCATGTTTTGATCACAGGTGATGATCATAGGGTTGCATAGTAATTTCCCCATATCAAATAGAATAAAAAATTATATACAAACATAATGAAGATATCCTAGGCCTGTTGTGTGATCACAGAATTAACCAATTAGTATTGTGAGATTTTCAATAAACTATAATTTAACTATATGCTAAATGCAGCTTAGTACAGTTGATATATTTGTTTCTAGGCAATTGTGTTATTTTCTATACTTGTCTATATCCATGCAAACTTCACAAGCCTACCGATGAGATGTTTGGACAATGTACAGAAGACATGGCCTAGAAATGGTATTCTTCGAGTGCGAATGTCTCAAAATTCCTCAATTTATGTAACAAATGGAAATACTGCACACAATGGTATCAATATCAATGAAAGCAATGTTTCAATAAATGAAACAGATTCCACTGCTTTGCCACTAGATCAGGATATGTCAACTGATTTCACAAACCAATCGAATCTTGATCTTTTTTACTCAATTCCTGAGGATAAGCCATCATTAAGTTTTAAACCAATGAGAGAAACACTTCTCCACTCATATGATACAATTCTTGATGGTAAGTATGTGCAAAAAAATTAGACTTTTGAAATACTATTACGCACAAATTTTACAAGCTAAGTGGGCAAATTAAATGCTGGTTAATGGCTGTTCTCAAATACAAAGGTAATTAAGAATGATCAATGCGATTTAATAGCAAATTGCATTGGTCAGAAACAATAGCATTTAAATTCAACATGAGGCAATTCAGCCTTTGCAGTTGGCTGAGGGACTTTGAGCATTAGGTCTCTAACTATTTTGTATTTTTAGAATCCAATGAAGATGAGTATGTCATGGAATATTCTTTGGAATTTGGGTTTCTTAGACTTTCTCAAACTGCCAGGTTACGATTAAAGATTCCAGTTATGGTAGTTGAGTTAGGTAATCCTCAGAAAAGTTGTCTGTATGCACTACATACTGTGCAGTAATAATTGTCACTTTTTTTAATTAATTTGATATAGATCCCACTAAAGAAAAATGTTTTGGTGATGCGTTTAGTCGGTTTTTGTTGAAGGAATTTCTTGGATACGATGATGTACTTATGTCAAGTATTAAAAGAATTGCAGAATTTGAAGACAATAGAGGTTCATTACAGTAAAACTATCATACATGATATTGTTTTATAATAATTTTTAAATTTGCCAAGCTAAATGCCTTGCTAGCCATGTTAATTGCCTTAGGGAGCAATTTTCCTCTGACACAGGGCTTTATAAGCTTGGATTTCATAGGTCACTGACATTTGGCAACAGCTATTATCCATTGATGATCACTGGATGATAATAAACTGTGCTTTGTTATTTTGATTAATTTTCTTCATCAACAAATAAATAGCTGACTGCTGGTGATTAATGAGAGCCAGTCCATGAATGGGGAAGGGACCCTTCATCAAAATATGATTTTCCCCCACCTCAAACTTCTCATGCAATATTCACATCCACCTGAGTACAAAAATGAAATGATTTACCATTTTAGGCTATTTGAGAAATTTAGTGACTGGTGAACACTATCGTTTTGTCAGTTCATGGATGGCAAGAAGTTCATATGTTGTTGCTTTTATTCTAATGTTTACTTTCGTAAGTTCTAGAAATCAATTCTATCCTGAATTGTGTAAACTTGATCAGGAAAAAATTGTATTGGTAGATGCTGTCAGCTGTATATTTTATTTTCATTCTTGATTGTCTTATAGACGATTTCAATCTCAATGCTGCTTCGATACTGTCACCATCAAATCTTTGTTTTCATTGGTAATAACACACAGATATTCTCACCAACTAACGACTAATAACTTCATCAGAGAAACCAAGAATAACACAGTTGTTAGGCTAAAAAAGTCCAAACACCAAAATTGTGTTAGACAAAACACTCAGATGAAGTTCAGCTGCTCTAGTGTGCCTCAATTCAAATGTGCCTTTTGGCACACTCTTCCCCCTTTCCTGCTTGCCTTCGCATCTCTCGGTGACACTGACTTGTAATTTACTTGCAATATTCTTTTGTTGTAGTTAATATTCTTCAAATGATGGATTTGAATGGAATAATCGCTTTCCCTGTTGCACCCTTATTTACAGTCATCCTTTCCTTAGTGGGTAAGAGCTTTGGTCTGTTGATATGAAACGGCCAGTGAAATGAGATTGAATGAAGCGTTTGTTTTGTCTTCTTTAGGAATGGAGGCTATTATGTCGGAATTTTTCAATGATGCAACGACAAGTTTTTATGTCATTCTAATTGTATGGGTGGCTGATCAATTCGAGGCGATATGTTGCCAAACAGCGATAAGTAAAAGATTTTGGCTAAGGTATGTCACCGTATGTGCTGCTAGACTATCCAAAGACTAAGTGACTGCGCGTTCAAAGAAGCATTAGGCCTTTACACTCCAAAAAATCTTTCCACCCGAAAAAATCTTTCTACCAACCCCTTTTCAAATGCTGTTTGTCCCAGTTTTCAAACGTCGCACATCGACTCACCAAGTAATGAAGTTGTTCTCGGCGCCTATATATAGGTTCTTGTAAGACAATCGATGATCCTCCTACTGTATGTGTGAACTAATAAAATCATGTTCAAATATTTTTTAAGATTCTTCTATCTCTATCACTTCGCCTTCTATGCCTACCACTATCGATTCAATGGTCAATACAGTGGTCTGGCGTTAGTTACGTCATGGTTGTTTATTCAAGTGAGTAAAAATTATCGTGAGGCGATTTTAAACTCTACTGGAATAACTAATTTAATGCAGTTAAAACTTTCCTATTGGTGCAGAATGTGTACATATGTATGTGCTATAGCTGTAATTTGTAGCTAGCCAGGTAACAACATATATTTATATACTTAGCTTACGTATATACTGCTATAAGATTATATAGCACTATAATAATCAAATCTTATATTTAGCACTATTATAGTTCTGTGCCTGTGGCGGTATATATATATAAAACCGGGTATTTTTTCGTTATTTTTAAAGTTGTTTTTGACTTGCAACAACCTCGAGATTTAATAGCAACAATACCCCGTAGTCAGTCCTGGGTTCAAGTCTACATGTTTCATTGTGAGTCACTTATTTTTTTTCAGCATTCGATGGTTTTCTTCTTCCATCATTACGAACTACCAGCCATATTAATGCAAGGAGCTCATATTGTTGGCGGCGATCAAATCAACGAGGAACAACTAGAACTGGAGATACTTAACCCAACAGTTAATAATCCCAATGAACCAGTACTTAATAATACCTACACCGGTGATAATGAGATCAATGTTGGCATGAATAATGATGATGGAAATAACTTGGCTGAAAATGGCAACGGAAGTAATGATCCTTCCTTGCGCCAACGCGTGCATGATCGAAGGCAAAATGACGGTGAAATGATGAACGCTTCTCAACCTAATCCGACTAGTTTAGAACAAGATAGAACTTCTTGAACTTGCATTATAATTAATGATATTTAACAGATTGTCACATTTGTGAATATTTTCAGAGTCGCCGCGCGCCTCAAAATGACCGCGTGTTTTATGAATGCTTGATTCAAAGTAAATACCGTATAACTACAGCATGAATTTTCCAACATCAGTTCATTGTTTTCGGATAACAAGCACAGAAACGTTTCGTTAATTTTCAACGTAAATCTGGCTTTGTATATAGGTAATGTTAAGAGATGACAGGACATTTATATTATATATACTGATAACATACAGGTATATTATGTACTGTAAAAGTAAAAAACCTTCAGAATAAAAAAAACACTAAATATTTTTTAAATATTTTAAGCCCGCGCATACGCATTCAATGGCATATCGCAAGATAAATCGTTTCATTTCAATTTTCAAACACTATAAGCTCATTATTTCGTATTCATTTTCATGGCTTTACTCGGTCAACAAGGCTGGACAATCATTTCTTTCAATTAAATTGTTGCGAGATTACGAGCCTCTAGTTTTTCACTTACTAGTTGCTCTGTGTGAGTGGAGTCAGGATACTTCAAATGGAGATTGTTGCGAAGAGTGAATAAATATTTTGGCAATATCATCAAAGTCGTATGTTTTCGCAGATAAACAATCCATAATTCTTATTCCTCCGATTGTCTGAAAACAGAAATATTTTTGTTCAGAAATAATCTACGCATGCTTCAAAACTTGAGGATACGCGGATGTTATTTCACGACCAGATTAAGAGGAATTTAAAGCGGAAAATTTGACCCCTCAGATCGCATATTTCATTAAGATCCGTCACCCCCTGGTCAAAACGTGCTGTTAATACAACTAGTAATTCATTCGTCTATCACATGCAGTACCTGCAAACCAGTGGCTAGTGGTAGAAGTTGAAGATATAACGTGATCGATGCACCAGGAGTTAATATTCCGAGTTTCTGAAAATATAATTTCGTAATTCATATTTTGATGCCAGATAAATTAAAGTTTAAATAACTTCCCTGCATGCAATCAATGTAGCTGCTACATTATTTGATTTGTTTACTAGGAAACGGCTGTACGTTTTGCAATATTATTGATCATGAAAAGCACTAGTGAAAACTCTTTTACCTTTCCTGACGTGCCACACCAAACGATACCACCATCCTTTGCCTTTGTCATTAAAAGTTGACAGTCAACTTTTCTTTCACTGAAACCATAAGAGAAAATTCATTAATTCACGCGATAAACTAATTCTCGAAAAATCTTCACATTCCACGTTCTAACGCTTTAAAGTCAGTGTTTTTTCTTGCAACTTTATTTCACACAAGTTTTGATAACAAGGAGTGAAAGCTAGACCATTAGCGGTTAGCATGACATCAACAAGGAAAGACAATGAGAATGCTTTAGGTCTTTAGGAGGCCAGTCTTTTTTGGGTGTTTATATCTTGCGGTGGGTGTTTATAAAATGCCTTGGGTAGGAAGTTGAATGTTGTTTACTTCGCTTAGCAACAGACGTATAATTTACTTTACTACGTAACGTACCTCATATTCTGTAAGTTACAAGTTAATTCGAATTTTTCTTCTACAGCAACATTGTCTGGCAGTTTCGTGATCTGGAGTTTCAATTCAGGGGCAGTGGATGGCTAGAATAGAGTTTTTGTATTATTATAATATAGAACACACCTCTCCGCGATTGAATAAGATTCGTTAATAAAGTTCGTCCAACTAAATATGAGACTTTCGCTTGTTACCAGGCCCTACAATCAAGCATTCACATAATGACGAAACTGTCAAATATTTTGTTGGAGGGAAGAATTTTATGTCAGATCAAATCCTATCATTTCTATCTCAGTTTTAATTTCACACACTGGCTACCTCAGGAAAGATTTAGCAATGTTAACGTTAAATACCTACCGCTTTCTGTAATTGACTTGTCTGTAGTCTTCCCTTCTCCCCCATGGCTGACCTCCAAACTATATCTAGTTTACCAACAGCTGACGATGGCGCCTACAAATATCAAATCTAAATATGAAAATCTAGTTGCTTAACAGAATGATGCGTAAAAAGAATAATTAAGTCCACGAGACAAGGAACGTGATCGTTTATCATACTTTAACTTTCTCTTGCATTGTCGGCGAAAACTTTGTCTTGATTCTGTACAAGTATTGATGAGTGTCATTTGGGTTGAGACAAAAACTTTTACCAAGATGAAAATTACTGAAAAGTATAATTTAAAACAATTATTAACAAAACACACCCTATTAAATATAAAATATTGGCAACCATGTGCTGTTAGGGTCATTCACTGACAGAAGCTCTTCTGGTAGCATAATACAATTTTATATCAAACATTTACTTAGGAAGAAGAGTGCTTCAAAGGTCGGCTAATATGCTTCCTCTTTCATATTTCTGTACCTCCTTGGGATAAAAAATATCCACCTTCATACGAAATACTTAAGGATTAGGAGGAAAGGAAACATTTTGTGGCAAATAACAAAAATGGTTGAAGATACGGCAGAAATTCATCAACTTAGCTTTGTCCCCCGCAGGTCATAAATTTAATTCAGTTCAAACCTCGACGTGTCATTTAAATCTTCAGCAGTATAATGCAGCGACGGCTCAAATTTCACCGATTCCATTGTCAGAGGGATTGTTGTGATGTTTTGAACTTGAGCCTCCAGGTACATCTCATCTTCCTAAAATTTATTCGAACTTAAATGTGACGAATTATTACGACTTATTAGACCATGATTCGTAATATATAAATATATTATAACGTTGATTGACAAACCTCCGGATAAAATTTTGTTTTCACGTCAAGCGGTTTGAGAACCTAAAATCATATTACAATAGCCCTATTGCATTATAGACTACTTTTTGATCTATGCAAGGAAATTAATGCAAAAAAAGCACCACAGCTGAAAAGAGCGTCCTGAAATTAGTAGAAATGCAAAGTTTGGCTGCGAAATGTTGTAAAATGTGGAAAATATAGCCAAACTTTTCGTTTCTACTAATTTCACTACGCTTTTTTCAGCCGTGGTGTTTTGATTGCATTTCCTTGCATGGATAAAATAGTAGTCTAAAATGAAGAAGGTCCATTGTTAAACTACTCACAGTACATTCCGACGTAATGTACAGATTGCAGTAGTGTATATAATCCTACGAAGGACAGTGTTCTCTTACCTGAAATTTAAAGAACTTCCGAAAATACATCTTCTCACCATTTGGGGCAGTGTAGCTAACAGCACACACCAGGCTATAGAATTAACACAAACTAACTATAAATATACAAAAATAGTAGAATAGTTTCATAAATTGTCCTGCTTATTTCAGAAAGTTGATAAAACTAACATGGATTTTGGATAGTTGTACGGCATTGTAGTAGCTATACAGCATTCACGGCACGGTCGTATAAAAAGACAGTCAACTTTAAATTATCGTTAGTATCAGAACTGACCAATCAAAATCGGAGTTAACTACGATTTAACTATACCAAAGTGTACTTGACGGCTTTAATACAACCAGCCCTATACCTACTGTCTTGGATGGCGCTTAAAGTAAGGTTTATACACACGATAAAAATTAGCGACTATAGGTGAAATATTGTATTGACCTTGGAATAAAATCAGAAAACTGACCGTAATTGATCGAGAACTCATACACCATTATAATCACGAGAGTAACTTACATATGTGTTCCTAGTTCTTTGACCTCATGTTGAATGACCTGATCAATACTTTTTGATGGATCTAATTTTACGACAGGTTCATTGCTTGTTAAGCTTAACAATGTTAGTCTTTGAGATGACGTCTGCAAGTCAGTCTAAACGAAAAACAGTGAGGATGTGAGCAAGAAAACACACAGATAACAAGGCAAAACCATTTTCAATTATTCAAGCTCTTCAGTGCTCTTTACGACTGGATGACGATGAGGCCTTTATGCACAAGCCTATATTAACTGTTGTATTGATGCAATCTCCGCCTGAAACGAGTCTGGCTTTGAGCAAAACGTCCAATTTTAGTTATACACACACACACAGTGATACACATACTAAACATACATACCGTATGAACACTTGTATCGTACATTCAAAACATTGACAGTTTAATTTACTTATCGTGCATTAACAGAATAAGTTCGTTGGTTTAATTTTTGCCAAAAGATGCGAATTACGTAACCGTTCCGAAAACAGCTGTTTCATGGGTTTTCTCCAAAATAATGCCGGCAGATTTAGAATAGCCCCTAACAGACCTTTTCACGTCAAGTTCGTAACCGCTATATTGCTATAAATTTATCAATGCAAATTCTTTGGTATGTGCACTACTGTACAAGAATGACGTATAAGGAAAGAAATGAAATTCGAAATTGGAATGATCGAAAATAGAGTACTGTTTATATATATGATTTCATGTACTCGTTGGCTGAGATAAAATCACTAACAACGCAAACAATGATATTACGTAATCTTGAAGAATCATCCCATTTCAACTGGGCAAAGAGATGTCCATCATCGAGCCTCCTGCTGATATTCCCTGGCTGTATACTGTTTAAAATACAGTTCAACCATTAGCTAACGTCCTAAAGTAACACTCACTTTTATTACGATGTCTTTGGCTACTTGATTACTATCATTATGAACACAAATATAGCTTGAGAATGTTTCACCAAGAAAAATATTTCTAAATAAAAAGAAACTTGACATTAAACGTAAATAAAGAAAATGTGTTTACAAAGACGAGCAATTTATCATAGCCAATACTATGGTGTTACATAAGGATGTATACTTGATCCACTACACTACGCTGCTCTATTTTCATTTGAATATATATACCGTCGTAGTTTTGTTCAAGTGGATTGGAATCAGTGATATAATGCTGATGAGATGGAGGTACAGAACTGTGTATAAATTAAATCATCTTAATAGTAAAAAAAAGCTATGGTAATTGGGTTAAGGTCTGCCAAAAGGAAGTCAGACAAATTCTTTTTAAATTCTTGCATAACATAGAATTTCCATCCCTGATGAACTAAGAGTTTTACCTTTTTCGGTAATTGTAAACGAGCTACTTAATAAATAGAAAAGTAATGAAAAACTGAAGTCATAGTTAGGAAAACCTCATGCAGAAATAATGCAGTAAAGCACGCCTGCGCAAATAAAAGCTAAAAAGTCTTTCTTCTTTATATAAAAAATTTATTTCTATACATTATATAATAATTTACAAATATATACAGCCTAGTCTAAATATCAGGTTCTTTCCTATTGGAATGTCAATATTTTTAGGTATTCCTAATCATGTCCTCTTTCTGAATGACCAAGACAGCAGCAGAATAAATCACGAAGTCTTTGACGAAATTTTCTTTTCCCCTTTTTATCTGCTTTAACACTCTTGTTCTTAGTCTTAGTTTTCTTATCTGCTACCTCCTTCGTGCTGTCATTCTCTTTTTCTTTTTTGCAGGTAACATATTTCCTGTTTTTCTTTGTCATAAAACCACTGCTACTTGTTACAACAAGTTCCTCTGCAAAAGAGTTGAAGCGAAATACATCAGGTAAAACTTTATTTCATACAGACACATCTCTTAAGCTCAAAGGCAGTCCGTATACGACCTATGGCGGAGATTCAATTTGCCGCACCCAAAATTTCAGTTTACCAAACTTTTAAACTTACCAAAATGGTCTTCATGATCTTCGATTTGACATTTCTGAGACCTTCTTGGCGGTGCTGATTTCATGACATTTCCAGAAACGACAACGTTATGTCTGTCTTTGTAATAATCGTCATCATCATCGTTTTGGTTTGATATGAAAACTTTTGCATATACGTGACGAACGACTGGAGACCTTTCACCGTCGGTTAATTCACTCTATATAGGAAAACGAACGTCATTGTTAATTATTGTCAGTATTCTGTTTTAAACCTTTACTACCAGCCTTACGAGCCGCAACCACAAAATGTAAAGTTTATATTTTCTTCCTTTGATTGATCATACCTAAGCGGTTTAAGGGGATCGAGTGCAGTTTGTTGGTTAACAGGAAAACAATAAAGAATAGACATTATTTTATTACCTCGTCGCCAGTATTTCCTGTATCTTGAATACTGTTCATTTCAGGAATTATAACATCTGAATCACGAGAGATTGTCTTCTCACTGACCACTGGATCACTAGTAGATTCCTGCTTCAATGGCAAAGCACTTTCGAAGTCAGACTGAGGCTTCTCGAGACATGAAGACGCGGCGGCACTCAACACCTGAGTGGTGTCAGCCTCAGCAGCCGGTACGTCGCAAACGTTTATCTCTTCCACACTGAGCCAGGTCTGACTACAGGATTCAACACAGTCATTGCCACTGAGGTCATCGACGGATTCTTTCTCGCCGGTAATTTTCGTTTCACTTTCAACCGTCGGTAATTCAGTTTCTTCTCCCTCACGGCAAAGTGCAACGATAAGTTCAGGAGTGGTCAGCAACGAAAGTTGGTGATCAGTTTCATTGTCCAGCTCTCCAGCATCAGGACATTCGCTTTCTGCATTAATAAATTGATCGTCACAACTTTCATTACGGAAGCCAGGGAGTGGTTCATCAGGGAGACTTTCATCCACGCTTTCTTCGTCAAGAGATTTCGTTTCATTCTCTCCCTTGTCATTCTCACCAGGTTCTTCGGAACCTTTTTCAAAATAAATAAAAAAAATATATATTTCAACATACGACGCAGCATGTCAAACGTTAGCGCGCGCGAATTCTCTGGCACGCGCAAATGGCGAATGAAATTGATGGCGTGAAAGTTAACGTCAGCGAGCACGAGTCAATGGCGCGGGATCACTGGCGCGCGCAAAATGGCGAATTAATTAGGTAGTTGCTAGGCAATTAATTATTGCTAGGCAACTACTTCGGCTGCCTAGCAACTAATTACATAAAAAATTTATTTAAATGAATTTGCGTAAAATATACGCCGCAAATCATCGCAAATAAGCAAATTAAATTATTAAAATATTTAGAAATTAACTCTTACCTTCTCCCTGGTCTCTCTTTGCACTTTCTTGAAGTTTGTTCTTGTTCATTTCTTCTTCGATCAAGATTTTCTTAGCATTGTCGACCAAAGCGAAGACGTAGTTTTGTATTTGTAGAAATTCTAGAAGCGGTGGCTGGTACTTTCTTCCAGAGTATTTATCCAACCGATATCGATTTTGATTACTCGCCATTTTAAAAGAATTTTCACTCGTAAAAAGTAGTGTTTTCACTTGCGCAGTCAATCAATTATGACAAAGCTAATTATTGCGTCAAATCTTTTTACGCCATCGCATCCGCAAAGCATTGTGGTAATCAATTACCGCACTGACCGTAATTACACTGTAGAGTGTAGATATAATAAACAAGTTTTTTAAATACTAATCGCGCAAAGCAGTTGGTTGAGTTTATGGCACTAAAGAATGCGAGACCGTTGACTCCCTCTTATTCCTAGGGAGTATCCGCGATATTTTTTAACTACTCAACATTGCTAAACAGCATTTCTTAAGATCTAATTTGAAATCAATTTTCTTAAGTGAACTAAATCCAACTTGAATTTTCGTATTTGCAACAGTCTGGTAGTATGTATATGCTAGATGCAAAATTACTGACCCAAATGTTTGAGGCAAAACTAGCAATTCACCCAATGCAAAATTTTCTAATCCCCTTGCAGTTCCAAGATCTTTTTTAAATGCATCAGAAAAAGTAGTTCCTGAAATATAATACATGTGATTACATTCACCTAGTCCAAAATGATAATAGAATGCAGGATCATGTTGTTATGCTATAAGATCTCACAATGAACCTATAAGATCTTACCATGATCCAACAGGGCAACATTACTATGACGATATAACCTGTGATCCAACTTACTACAATCCTATAGCATCTTATCACAATGCTACAAAATCTTAGTTGCATCTGTAATCAGATGTCTCGTCATTTGGTTAAAGATCTTACCATGATCCTAAATATCTTAGCAAGATCCTGTAAGATCTTACAACACATGATCCTTTCACAGTTACCTGGTAAATTATGCTTTTCTGTTGCCACAGGAATTGACACATGCAAGGAAGGCTTTGTCAATCTCATGACTACAAAAAATAAAGAATATTTCATGAAAAATCTATAATGATCCTGTGATATTCTACAGAAGCATTATCAAACATTCCCCTAGAAAACGTGAATAGGACTAAACAAATAAAAAAAACCCGTCAGGAAATAGGGGCAATATACATTCAACAATTCTCTTATAAAATAGAAATATCTTCCAATTCACTATATCAAATTGGAACCTTTAAATAAGAGCTGTGCTGCAAAGTCTGCCTAGACCAGAACTAGTAAACAAACATATCTTTTCATTCTCTTTAATTTAAACTAGAAATCCGTGCAAATTTATACCTTTCAAAGCCAGAAGATGTTCCGTTGATGTCTCCATCTTGAACCTGAGCCACAAAGATAGGGTACGTTTGCTCAGCAATTTCTCATCACAAAAACAAAATGTCGGACAAAATTCACAAAAATTAGATAAAAAAATAAATTAAAATAAGAAAATGTTAATTATATTAAATCTTTACTTTCTCTATGGCTGAATTAAGCAATAATCCTAGAGTAAAGAAGACTATCAACAAAGGTGTAAGTACATGAGTGACAATGTATTGAATGATGATCAGATGAGTGCATGGTTGATATTAATTATATTACAAAATTTTAAATAATATTCATTACTAATATTTCATCAATGGGAAATCAAGTGATCAACATAAAATGAAGTGGGGATGTATCCATTATTTTATATATGCCTCCCTTGCTGACAAGAGTTTGAGCAGGGCCTGGGGAAATGTTTGTCTAGGATTTCTTCCACATTAATGAAAATTACACTTCCAACCCAGTACCCTGCCCCATTATTCTAAGGAAAATATTTCCAAAACAATGTGTTTGTAACTATGTTTTTTGCATATCACCCCTATTACACATCCTGTCTTCTAGGTTTTAGAATGTGGTGTGTGTGAAGACATATTTGCATTTCATGGTGAAAAAGTTCCTCGCCTTTTGCTGTGTGGCCATACACTATGCCACGAGTGTCTAACGAAACTGCCACTACGAAATAGGACTGTAGTTTGCCCCTTTGATAGACAGAAAACTGAACTTAGTGATTCAGGCGTGTGGGGGTTGAAGAAAAATTTTGCACTATTAGAGCTACTTGAACGACTTAAAGTTGCCCATGTGCCTTTAGTCAATAATTTTGAAGAGGATGAGAATAAAGTTAAATGTGATGAAAATGAAGAGCATTTAGCTTCAGTTTATTGCACAGTTTGTGGGACCAGCTTATGCAGTTCATGTAGTGAAATAACTCATGCCACAAAGACATTAAACAAACATAAACGAGTACCATTATCTGAGAAACCCTCGGAAAAGGCTGTTTGTCCTGACCATCATGAACGGATCATTGAGTTTGCTTGTGCAGAAGACATTTGCCAAAATAATCCATTAATGTGTGTATTGTGCAAAGATTATGGCAAACATAAAGGCCACAAACATCATTTGGTGATGACTGAAGCAGAGAATGTGAGATCTTCTATATTAAATGCTATTCAGCATATCAAGTTATTTAGTGAAGATTTAGCAAAGGCTACACAGAAAATTGAAACAGTCATACAAAAAATTGAAGGTTAGTTTAACGTTTATATCCATGGGTACCTCCTGTACAAACTGGTTCTGCTATAGGGCTGGCTTTGAGAAGTCCTGGAAGTTATTTCGTATTTGAATTTCGCAAATGCTATAATAGAATGAGCCATTTACATTTGAAGTAAGCAGTGTGTCTTTCTCCTTCACAGGCTCAGTGGTGGTTGAGGATGACGCAGAAGGACAATCTCATTCACGACACGTGCTGGGAACTGGAGATATGGCACGAGGGAGAGTACGTGATTACTTCAACGATTTACGTGAAACTGTCAATAGACAAGAAGAAGCTGGGTTAGCTGTGGTCGATAGTTATCTACGTGATCAGTTGTCATGGTTAAGACAGAGGCAAGAAGATATGGTGGTGCTTAATTCACATACATCAGCAGTTTGTTCGCATTGTGAGAAAACACTCAAGTCTGACGATAGCCAAGTATGCATCTTGTATATTCATGCAGGAACAGTCGTGCAATGAAGACAAGCACATTAAGTTTATCTTTACCCCACCTTGTTCACGCAACTATTAAAATAGCTTCGGGGGTTCATTCAGGTCAGAAGGGAATCCGTCTTGTCTCGCCACATCCCATACGTCTTGTGTAGCGCCCCACGCGCAGTGTCAAGTGTTCTAGATTTTCAATGTCATCGTTTTGCTAGGGATGAGGTTAACAGAATGAAGCTCAGCTTGTTTTTTATACCCATTGTTCCTTATAATGTCGATATTTTAATGCTCTAGGTGGTCGCCTCGCGTACCGACATTCTCAATGTTCTTCAAACTGTCCAAGAACAACAGCAACAATTTCTAGAAACTGCAGAACTGTGTTCATCTGACGGAAGTATTCCTATTGCTTTCACGAAAGACAATCGCGTTCACATCGGACCCAAGATGGAAATGAGAGTTGTTGCCTTGGGGTTAGATGGAGCCGGAAAAACCTCAATACTTTTCAAGCTGAAACAAGACGAGTTTGTTTCAACGATAACAACAATTGGTAGGTGAAACATTTCAAGTAACTCTCACTATCCACGTACTTCAAATGTTGTCACTTCTCCCCTTTCAAAATCAAGTGTCTGTGGCAAGCAAGCTTACCCAGGTATGGTTGTAAACCTGTTGCCAATGATATATAATCTCTCACAGGGTTTAACGTTGAAACAATTGAACATAAGAATCTAAAGTTTACGATTTGGGATGTTGGTGGATTGCACAAACTACGACCTTTATGGAGACATTATTATCTGAATACACAAGGTAATGCCTGAATAAACGCCACTGACAAACAAGATCTCGTTCCATTCACTTTATAATGTTCTACCAAAGTGCTCATGCAAGTCCTTTCGATAATATATTTTATGCTTCCAAGTCCTATTAAACTGAAAACATACTGGTTTGGTATAGTATAGTTACAAATAGCTACATGGATGATAAGGAAAACGAAGACCCTTTATCATTACTGTAACGCGGTAAATGGATAGATTCTTTGTAAATCATAAATTAGATGTATGTTTCAGCTATAATATTTGTCGTGGACAGTAACAACAAAGAGCGTATGGAGGAGTCTCATGCTGAGTTAGTAAAATTATTGACGGAAAAGAGATTAAGTGATGCCTTGTTACTGGTGTATGCCAATAAACAGGTAATGACATCCAGTATATTCTTTCAGAAACTGTAACGTGATATCCAAATAAAAATATGGATGGACCAACTTTAAGCTAACCGTGATCCATCTTGTGTCTAGTTGTTTTATCTTTTATTTATATTTTCAGGACCTACCAACAGCGTTAGATCTTGATCAAGTCACAGAACGTCTTTGTCTGCATAAACTATGCTGTGGTAGAAGCTGGAATGTGATTGGTTGTGATGCACATAGTGGGCGTGGCCTTCGTGAAGGATTGGACTGGCTTGCAGCTCAGCTAATGTCTGAATTTCCTCCATAATCTGATATGACAGAACTCGAATAACTCATGTAAAATGGTTCTGAGTACACAAAAAAACTCTAATTCACAAGGCAAAAATATCATGTTACCAACCGTGTTTTAGCGAGAGTGATTTGCACTCAAGTAATTTACTCAGTTATTGTGACTTATTCCATGTACAATGAGTTCTTGTAACCGTACCGCTCAGAGAACAACTTGACTTGCAACTCAGGTGATCTTCATCTTACTCTATAAATTGCTGTGATTTACTGTTTGTAGACACCAGCAATGTCACTGGATTGTATGCAATAAATAAGATATAAACTCGTTTATTTCGTTCCATATGGGCTGCTTGCATCCACAACTTTCGTCTTAAGTTCAGTTTTTACAGCACTCGATACCTTTCCAGAACTACTTGTGCTAGAACGTTGTGAAGACGAATGACGTCCTATAGTGAGATATGTATACAATCAATGCTGAATTTCTTATAGCACTACATTACGTCACACGTTGTTACGAAAATAAGTTAAAAATTTTAAACCCGTGAACTTTATGCAAAGAAATAACTGAGCAAACGATTGTGATAGATCAACATTTGCAACATTTACAACTAAGCATGTGTACCACATGGATATTTGCTGTGAATATAGCAACTGCTTATAGAAGTGGGATAGCATGCATGTATCGGTATTTTCTATAGGTACAATGGGTTCAAATAAACTGACCCAATCGCCACATTACCTTGAGATGAAGATTTATGAGATGATGAACTGCCTGATGACAAGCTTGAGGATAATCCTGTCAAATATTGATTCGAATTAAGGTTGGGATAATGTTCATTGAGTTGGGAGGCAAGATGTGAAGTTTTTCTAGGCTATTTTATTTGTTGCAAAAGGCTGGAGGTATACCCACCTTTACCATATGTTATGGCACCTACAAGTTTTGGTACATCTGCATTCACATTGGCAGATGACTTGGAAGCTGTTACAAGGAAAAAATAACAGAATTGTCTGTCAACACACAACAGTGAATTTGCCATTAAACACAATTTCGCTAGTCTAGTTCATTTCTATGATCTAAATATTTCCAACCTGATGATTGATCAGTTTCCCAATCATCTCGTGCTGCACTGATCATTTCAACTAAGCTTGACAAAGTTGCATTAAAATCAGCAATTTGTCTCTAAAATACATGGAAAGAAAGTAAAGGTGTAAAAACAATGGGGCAGGGGAAAAACATGCCTTAATTACTCTGGAGTAAAGTACCAAGATAAACAGTGATAATGATAATAGCTGATTATCTTGCAATATCTTGGCATCTCCATCTCCATACAAACATGGATAGTTTGGTTACCTGTGTTAATTCACTGGACATGTTTGAGGCTGTGGCTGATAAAACTCTCTCTTTATCTTCCACTTCTGGTTCATATTTTGTCCTCAGGTGATCAGGCACTGCAGAAAATACAAAAAAGCTTAAATTAAACAATCCCATCCAATTGTTTTTGTTTCAAAGCCTTGCTCCTTTCTAATTCTATTCAAGCAGATCAGAAATAAAGAACAAACTTTAAACGCTAAAAACTTACCAACTTCGTGGTTAAAAGCCTGGATACGACTTTCCGTTGATTTCTAAAAATTATTTCAAATAATACACACTATAAAATATTGCTTTTAGGCAAGTAGCAATCCCTCAGTAAAACCATCTTTTGCTGTATTCTATACCTGTAAGTCAGCATCGGGCTCTTGTTGAACCAACAATGGCAACAAAACAAGGTTACGAAGTACTGGTATTCTATCATTTTTAATTACTTTGAACAGAGTGCTAACTTGACCTGTACAAAGAGGAATAGTCAACTTAGGTTCCTGAATAGGCTGAACTATTCATAAATTTTGCCCATCAGGAGCAGCTAGTGTATACTTAGTGGATAAAGATATTGATATATTTTGAGACATTTGAACACATAAAATCATACTTTGATAAATTTAAAAATTTCAGCCAAATTCGCAATATATACCTGAAATGACTGCAAAATTATCGAGAACTTGTGGCCTGTAAAAAATTATATATTTGTAAGCTCACTAGTAATTATTAGGGCAAGTACAAAAAAGAAAATAACTCAAAGGCAGAACAAGGGCGGATCTTAGATATATATCTTAGAGTTTTCTAATACATTTATGGTTAAAAGAAAATAACTCAAAGGCAGAACAAGGGCGGATCTTAGATATATATCTTAGAGTTTTCTAATACATTTATGGTTAAAACTCACCAGGTTAATTGTTGATGTTCTATTTTCATCAGAAAACTTTGGCATGAATTTTTTAAATCTTGAACACGATTCAATAGAGCATCGAGTGTCGTTTCTAGTATTTTCTCATCCTAGGAGTAATTTAAAAGTAATAAAATTCAAAAGGATATAAGCCATTGTAATGATATTGCTTTTAAATCACTGCCACACTTATTTAATTGTATGTATGCACATAGTAAAACTACTTAGGGAAAATGGCACAAAAGTGACATTTTCTCACATGTGCATGACCCCATCTATATTACACCTGGTTTGCAAAGGACAGCTAGTGTGTATATCCTTCCCTTAGTAATTGCATCATGGTAATAGTTATTGTTCTAATGGTAATCATCCAGGTTGGAAACAGGTGGGGTAACAGGTTAGCCCAAATAAACACAGTCACAGTTGCCATTGTATCAGTTGTATGTACATACCATGCAACCGAGTATTGGACACACAATTTTGATGTGTTCTATTTTTTTACTATTATTTTTTAGCATGCAATTTGCACACTTTCAAGCTGGCCACCTGATCATTACAACTAGGAGTCTGAAGTTTTGTTTGGGGGTTGATTAATTATTCACTGAAATTTATATATAATTATGCTTTTGAGTATATGATCTACAGGTTTTATGGGTGAAAAAATTAAAAAACCAAATAAAATCTATTTATAATACCTGCATTTTTATTTTAGTCCATACAAATAAACACTGTCTGGATCTTCAATGGTCAAAAAATGAAAAAAGTCAAAATTAGTGAAATAGTCTGAATTCGAAAATACTGCCGGACATGCGCAAAATGACGTTCCAATATGGCGGTCGTAAATTGCGAAAAAGGCGATCAATATATATTTGGTTCGGTTTGATTATACTTGCTATATACTTTATGATTACACTCTACTCTACATATAACTTACTGGAGAGTACAAGTAGTAAGCCTGAAACAAAAGCGGAAAGAGTTCACATACAAAATTTTTCTATCGAGAAACTGAAAAAAGTTGAAGTATGGGGGAAGGCGGCAATTGGATTATATTTTTGGGAGCATATTATGGAGGGAAGCTTACAACAACAAAAAGATGAACTTGTTAGTTTAGGTGAAAAAACCATTGACAATATCAAGTTTATCTTTAGAACTGGGCCAGGAATTATTCCCCAGACTGTACCAGAAAATTCTAAAAATGTTGTTCTAATAATAAATGGCAGAGCCCAAGAGAAAATTAGGTTTGCTGAAAGGTGGTTAAAATCTCTTCAAAAATTTCATAGCTTAAAGAATGTTGCTGTTATACTGTTAGGCAATGAACAATGTAACAACAATTGGTTATCACCATATATGGTGAAACATGGCGGACTTGTTAATTTAGCATATATTGTTTATGACATTCCAAATCAAGGAGATACAATATTACAATGGCCTTTAGGGGTAGCTACGTATAGGAATTTTCCTAATGTTATTTTGAGTAAAGATGATATTTCAAATCATAGGCCATACGTGTGCAATTTTCTCGGAACAGTATATCCCAACTCATCACGAGAAACTCTGCAAAGGATTTTTTATAAGCATAAACTTTATACTATTTGTTATTTGAGACTCAGGGAAACATGGCAGCCAAATGAAAGCAAAGAAACTGCAGACGAATATTATCAGGCTTTATTACACAGTGATTTGACCTTAGCCCCTGTTGGAATAAACACTGAATGTTATCGCCTATACGAGGCTTGTTCTTATGGTTCTGTGCCAGTTGTTGAAGATATCAAAACACCAGGAAACTGCTCAGATACACCTTTAAGACTTCTAAAACAACATAATGCACCTTTTATTTATCTAAAGTCATGGACTGAGTTACCAGAGATTCTGAACAATGAAAAACTGTTGACCAAAGAACAGAAAATTCAAAGGAGAGAAAATGTATTGCAATGGTATTGGAAATTTCGTAGGAAACTTCAAAAATCATTTGTTGCTGAAATTAAAAAGAGATTTTAGTTCCTAGGTATTTTTATCATGTAATTTACATAGTTATTATAGCATGGATTTCTGTACAAAATCTAATTGAAATTATTTATTTCCTTGTTAATAAAATGTCGAATGGCAATAATATTATTGCAATTACCATTATATTTGTTCAGTTTTGGTATCCTGGTCCAGTTTTGTACTGTGTATGAAATCCTGAACGTTTTCATTTCAAACAATACAGTATGAACTTAGCTAAGAGTGAGTTCTGTGACACTCAGTAAGCATGTTGTTCTTTCAGCATAATAAACCAGCCACAGCAGTAACATTCAGGTAAACTGTTCTCTCCTAATGCACTCTCAGCATACAATCACAAACATGGCTCAATCATTTGGCATGAAACATAATTCAATTCTACACTCATTTACCAAATGTATAATTAGTAAAGTGGTAGCGCTAAAACGTAGGTCAGGCTCAGGCTGTACATGTAGATTATGTGCAACCACATGAATAAAATACAAGGCATAAAAACAATATCAAAAGCCACAGTCATTTCTTATCATATCCCATTTCCTCCTGGTATCCATGATTATAGAAGATAAGATATTTAATATATATATACAGGGTACAGTATGCAGGCATAACTGTTGTATTGGAAATTTGTGATGATTAATATTGATCATTCATCATCACCATTGTCTTTCTCAGCATCATCATCTTCTTTTGCTTCTGTGACATCTTCATATCCATTTTCATCATCATCTTCATCTTTTCTAGTATGTTCTTCATCATCTTTTTTCTCAGAGCTTTTAAATTATGAAATGATGTTTTAGCTAATTTATCAAAATCAATCACCTTAATAACAGAATAATTACCTTCTTTTTCTTGCTCTTCCTTCATCTTCAGACCCACTTTTCTCTTCCTCTGACCTTGACTGTGACCTGATTTGGGAGGGAAATAGTAATTTTCACACACAACTTCTTTATTTGTAGCCTTTATCTCAGATAATAACAACACATGTAACCAATATTTACAATAAACTGTTCCTATTAAAATGATTAAAATCCTAACCTTGATTCTCTTCGTCTACGATCACGAGATCTGGATCTAGACTCCGATTTTGATCTTGATCTGGATCTATGTCGTCTTCTTCTATACCATAGGCATATACAACTTCATTTACTTATTTAAATTGATAGTGTTGAGTAAAGAAGCATCACTTAGTGGTTAGCATGGACACTCTTCAATTCAGGTCACAAATCATATGACAAAGAAAATAATTATTATTTTTTTTCAGAAAGAGAAGTGAATTGCATTGTTACCTTGGAGAACGACTCCTGCTCCTAGACCGACCCCTCCTTGGTGAGCGAGACCTTGAGAGATACAATAACATGAACTTTAAAATTTGTCAACATCATAGGTTCGTGGCCAAGAATTAAAATGCCAAATCTTTACATAATGATTTTGTTATCTAAAACTCAAACCTGCAAATGGAAATGTCTATTAAATCTAAAAAAATGATGTATATATGTACGCAGTCTAAAATTATTTACTGCTGAAAAAGTTTTTCTTTGAAACTCTTTTATAGATAAACCATCTATGGTAGATAAATGATGTAATACCTGTTTTCACAGTAGATAACAGCAAATGCTGCAAAAGTTGGCTGGTTGTGGGTTAGGAAGACATGAAAATTTGATACTAGGTTGATGGTGCTCAGAGAGTGCTACGATGGTAAAGTCAAGCAAGGTAAAAGATGTCTGCGATGAGCTGCGATGTACGCTGCGTAGACACCTGCATAGTTGACCTGGGTTGTCAAATAATATCATTCTTACTATGATGAACATATACATACATCCATCCATAAGAGGGGTTCTGAAAGGTGCCAACAACATTTTCTTTTTTATACTGATGTAACCTTGTGCTATATATGCTTAACAGGACGCACTTGCGCTGACGAAACCCATGGTTTTGGCCAATAATTATGAAAGAACATACAAATTAAATTTCCACGCTGCTAAAATTTACAAACCTATATCGAGATGAGCTACCGCCAGCACCTGGCCTGCGAGTACAATCTTTAGCATAATGTCCTATCCTGCCACATTCATAACACTTCTCTGTCAAGCCAAGTCTAGCTGCACGACCACCTCGTGTAGGACCTCGTGCTATCTCAACACGCACACGACAGCCACAAAGTCTTCGGCCATTCAAATTTCTCACGGCGTCCTCGGCGTCTCGCTTATCTTCAAACACAACAAACGCAAAACCCGGAGGATTTCTGGCGACCCAAACATCTCTCAACTGACCGTAGGACTCCATCTCACGTTCAAGATCGCGTTTTGATGTGCCATCTTCAAGGTTCCCGACGTAAACTCGAGTCATTTTGACTAACAATATGTCAATATCCACACAAAAGAACTAAAATTTGCTCATGAAACAACTGATGAAAGAGTTCTTAATTGCTTCGCCCACAATGCATTGTGGCTGTGCGTTGGCATGTTTGCCCGCAATAATAAGGCCAGTGACAATTTTTCCTCGTTACTTGGTGTCACTCGGTGTGTCAGAGTGAGCAACTTGTCTGGTAGTGGTAGCAATACCAGATTCTTCATCCATATGTAGCTCTTATTACTACTGTATATAAATCATATGTGAGCCATTAGATATAAAAATATGGAGATTGATGAAATAAACTTACAAGATGAGCTGACCTCGGAATTTCTGTTGAAGTATCTAAATGGTGAAATTTCATTTCACGAATGGTTATCTAAGTTAGAATCTGGGGGTCATGAGGAGGAAGATGTTTTGGCTAGTGAGGGTGTTCCTAATGTGGAGGATATCAACATGGTTGAGGCTAGTATTGTAGGCAATGAAGGTGGTGAAGATGAAGATGATCATGGTGTGTTTTGTATATGCAGCTTATTATTTTGTTGCAGTCCCATGCATGTTAGTGAGATTACTAAACCCCTCCCTGGAGGGATCAGGATTCATTACTTCAAATTCGGGGTCATAGACTCATAGGTGTCTAGCTCAATATGTATAGGTTATCTAGTGGTAGAAACATGCCCATCACTAGTGCTTGTAAAGTCATTTCATAAGGAAGCATGATATGATATTTAGAGAAACAATGACTTACGCAGAGCTGTCAAATTTCAAACTCTTGATTTCCTGTTTTTGTCAGACGGTTTGCCCTCATACAGAACTTGTGATATCTCTCATATTTTTCTTCATACATACTTTCCTGATGGAGGTGCTAAGATGAAAACATTGGAATAGATAATCTGTCTATTTGAATGTCTGTTCACACCATTCAATCTTGTTAAATCTAATTCACCTCTGATGGATGTTTTATGGCAACTTACAGAAAGCGAACTAAAGCTAATACAATACTGCTTCATTAATAGCAGATCCATTTATCAAAAGTGATCTGACAAAATTGGATTGTGTGAGCAGATCTTAATGTAGGCAGTTAATGATAACACCACATTTAATAAAAGTTGGTGTTCAGGTGATTTTGAGACGTAATGGTACTTGATGTAATTGTCATTACATCAAGTACCATTACGACCCTACATACGACCCTACGAAAGGCCAGAGGTGATTATGTGTGCGTTGGGAACTTGTAACGGTGATTCAAGTACCAGAATAAACAACTTATATTCGCGTTTTATTTTATTTTTAAATTCATTAATTCCATTTTTTTCTTATCCCGAAATACCGCAAATTTATTTTTCAACTCAGCGTTAAAAAAGATAAGATTGCTAGCGTTGTTGCCGCCGTTGAGTCAAATGGGTGTGCTAAATTGTTAAATTATGTTGGTTATAAATACAATACGAATTTGGCCAAAAAACCTCAAAATATAAGCACTGGAGTTGTATATTATTGTCGTACTACCTTCTTACTTAGGACAGAGTTTGATTTTTAAACTGGCTCGTGACATTAGCTCAGAAAGTCAGGCGCGTGTCTCATCGATTGTCCCACTAACTGCTCCGTGTTCCTCCTGAGTTCAATTCCGGGTTACGCATTGTTTTTAATTTACTTTTTAAACTTTCTTCATTTTTTTCGGCGAGGATTAGAATTAACTACAACTGCAAAACTGCCTACAGTAAAATAGCAAATTGAAATCCGCATGCTGTAACATTCCGCACTTATAATATAAATAATGCAAGTTGCCAAATGGTCAGGTCTAAAAAACGGTCTACATTTTCTTTTCAAGATGAATCAAATACAGAAGTACTCAACGCAGGTCAAGAGGAAGAATCAGATCCAGGTTCTTCATCTGAACTATTGCATCCTTCGATCTCAAAGTTCCCAAAGAAGATGACGGAACTTTTATTGCTTGGCAAATCTCCTCAGAGTGCAAAATCTGTAGATGAATTTATGAATGAAATACCAATACCAGGGAAGAAAAAGAAAGGCGGTCGTCGAAGAAAAAATGAACTGACCAAAGAACATAGAGCAATCATGGGAAGGATTAATATGCTGTCTGCAAAGAAAGATTTTGATGCTGCTTGGAACTTATGTGAAGAGCTAATTCAAAAAGGTATATACTATGCGGATTTGGAAATTGAGTGATGTTCCCATCCATGGATGTGCAACGCCGTTTTTCAATACAAAGGCAACGCTGTCTGGTTTAATACTTCACTAAGCCGCACAAGAGAATCTTGGGGCATGTGAGATTAAAAGAAGCATCATGAAAACGATTGAGTTAATTTTCACCATCCAATTTATATTTTCTTTCTTGATGTTCCACCTCTTTATGTTCCACCTACTTATATCAACTGCATGCTTGAAAGTGCTTGAATGGGAACCCGTTGTAGTTCTCTTACGCGAAATGATCAGGCGTATTCTGTAACTAATTTGAATGCATGAGCTTGCCATGCATCCTGTAACCAATGATCTAATACAAAGATGCATTATGATTGTTCTTCTGAAGTCAATGATATAGTTATGATACTCATGACTTCACAAAGAAAGAAGGTAGTTAATTGCTGTTACCCATTCCCGACCAAGCATTGAGTCAATTCAAATATGGTTCTTAAACCTCACCAGTCAATCTCACAAAAGAATCGTGTTTCCTTGCATGCTAGCGTACAGGTTTTTTGACCTGATACAATTGTTCCTTTAGCTCCACGGTGTTCCGAACCGTTCCGAACACTTGCATTTATTTGTGAAGAAAGAAATGATCCAGAGAAAGCCCACCAGGTGTTGTATTTTCCCTCCTACTTCTCTATAGTTCCTCTTGACTTTCAGGTTCGTTTATAAAAAACAAACATTATCAATGCATTGTCATTATAGTACAAGTTAATTGCGGCTCATTTGGGGGCTGACGATTGCGAGGAATGGATTGAATTGGGTCAAACGTCTCTCAAGAGAGGAAACTCTCAAGAAGCTCTGATATGTTTCACAGAAGGTAAAGGCTAGAATACGATTAGGGAATATCATTCTTCCCATGAAACTTCAACACGAAGCCATTTTTCCCCTCCATATCCATGACCAATCCGTTATTCTTGCAAGTTACAACCAGCTCAGAACAACTAATTTATACTGATAATAGTCGTAATACAAGAGCCTTTCAAGTTCAGTTCCGAAACATGTTGTAATTTGAAAATTATTCCTCGTGTTTTTAGCAGACCATGCTTTACAATTTTCGTCAGATTCTTAGCATGAATTTTTATTTCACTTACATGAATTTTTCACTTCATCCACTACATGCAGCAAGTAAGAAAGATCCAACAAATATTGATGTTCTGATAATGAAAGCATCAATTTATGAAAATCTTGAACAAACCAAGAAAAAAATGGAAGTGTACGAAAATATACTAAAGGTATCGAGCAGAAATTCACTTTCTCGAAACAATAGACCGTTAAGCAACGTGTACAATACTAACACTATCTCAAATAAAAAAAATGCCCGATATATAGATCTTACAGTCCCCCCCTCGAATGACTTGGTATCACCCCTAACGCTATATTTTCCCTCTAGGTCTTACCAGATGATGGGGTGAAATATTTGACTTTTGCTAAAAACATGGCTCAGGTAAGAAAGGCCGGTGCATGAGGTATTCCTGTCAATTTCGTCGCGATTTAGTACAATGCTTCATCGGTTCCTACTCACTGAACTTCCTAAATATTACCAAAGGGATAAATAAACGGTTTTTTACACTAATTTATACTGCAGGAGAAGCATATAGAAAGATCTCAAATTCTCAAATAGACATCACTTTCCTAAACTGCGCGTTACATACAACGTACGATTTAATTTTCTTCTTTTGAAAGATGTGAACGAGCGAATAATTATGACTGCTGTGAAGTTGTGAAACCCCTTTTCCCTAAGTAGCTTATCCTCTTTTTCACATCTGTCAAAAGAAGAAGATCGCACGTCGTTTAAACAAACCTTTAAACCAATTCAAAATATTAACCCTTCCTTGCATGCATGTTATTTAGTTATACCATGCAGAAAATCAAGCTGAGAAAGCGATCGAAGTTTTGGTTAAAGCATTTAAAAAGTATCCAGATGAGATAAAGTTTGAAGGTATAATGACTCTTCATATGACATGTTGAGCATAAGACACTAACTATATATGTTGTAAAATTGGCATATAGGAATTAATTACGCATAAATTGCATGTTGGAAAATATAGAACGCCTGTAGAATGACCGAAATTTTAATGTATTAGCTTTCACGCGAACCGTAGTTAACTTTATTTCTTTTCATACAACTGCTGTTTTTCACCGCGTTGCAAAAATGTGCGCGTCAGTGAAAGAAAAAAGGTGCATCAAATCTGAATTAATTGTCGTTCTTCCAGATCTTAATATCCTGTCAGAGCTCTACATGTCACTTCGAAAGTTTCAAAAAGCTTTTCAAGTGAGTATTAAAATAAAACAGTGGTTTATTGTCAGAACAAATGTGTGCCAGCCTACACATGCACAAATGTATAATGAAATGTGCTAAACTGTTATATGTTTCCCTTAGCTTATATGTCAATATTGCCATATCCAATTTTTGGACTCCGAACACTGCAATATGCTCGTTAAAGCCGGTGAATCTCTGACTGAAGAAGAACTAATGGAGAACAGACTTTCTGATTACCCATTCGAAATAGAAGGCGCACTTCCAGTAGATATCAGAGCAAAGATAGTTATTTGTCTGATTCATAGTAAGGCAAAAGCAGAAACAATTCAGGTGAGAAACTTGTGGATGCAGTGTTTCTGATGTTTATGACTGTAAACATCGAGATTTGGGGCACACAGGTGTACGAATACTATATTCATAGAGAGGATTTTGCAATCTCGTACCCAGGGTTCGAGGTTGAGGTTTTTGTGGAGAGTAAACTCGATTATTTATCGAGGCATCGAATTTGCGCCGCTGCGATTCTGGCGAGCTTCGTAAACAAACTATTAGCAACATAATTCGGTCAGTTCACGCCGGCGGCGGCCGGAAGGAATGCGAAAAGGTTTTCGAATTGATGTTATTCTCAAATCTCTGTATAGGATGTTGTCTCACCTCTATTCCTGGAACCCATTGATGAGGTTGGGGATTTGTATTTGGATATCGCCGATGCTTACTGTGAGACTGGTGGGTGTACACTGTACAATGATTATCATGTAGATCTTTATGATAGATTTTGATCCATCTGTACATCTTCAGAACTCTTAACAATTCTCTCTACCAATCCCAGTTGAAAGTAAATTTTATACAGTAATAACATTGACTGCATACATGGGAAACAATTTTATAGTTTGTCTGCATGGATTTGCAATCACAGGATTGCATATCATTTGTAATAGGAGAAGAAGTGCATTAAGCATTAAATTCCAATCAACTTTTGTTGTTGTGTGGTTTAATCTGTCGGTTCTGTTCTAGGTCTGTATGAGGAGGCTTTAGTTTTGTTAAATCCTCTTGTGAAAACTGAACAGTTTGGTCAGGTGAGATGCGCTTACCAGAAATTAGTGACATATTAGCGTGTGGTAGTTTGCATATATTCGAGTTTTAATGCAACGATAAAGTACACTTGTGCATGGAATTAATCACCCCAACCTAGGGTTTTATGCCCGGTTATCTGACCTCACGATCAACTGTTTTAAACAATGGTCAATTCAACGGTCATTAAAATAATCCGTCAAGTTTGGAAAATTGTGCTCAAAGATTGTGAATTCGATTCACACACAACACATATCTTAACCCAGGTAGCCAGAGGCTGCAGTGCATACCCAAATTCCCAGTTGACGCCGACTTTCAATTTTACAATCGATTATATGTGTTTTAGTGAAATTCAGAGCCATTATAGGTATTGATAAAATAGGACTTAGTGTACATGCGATTACATACTTAATGTATATGATTTATGGCATGGATGCTTCAATTCGAATTTTCAATTATATTTTCATATATATAAAGCTTGTTGTTAAGATAGAATCATACCAATTAAATTTTGGCACGAGCTGATATTGTGCATAGTGTGCATGATAAGCCGTCCTCACGATGACGAATATCCGCTATTTTAGAGTACAGTCAATTTTTTTAAACGGATTTAGACCATTAAACAATTTAACGAACAAATTTATCCAGTTTAAAAAGCAGTTGCCGTTATGAGGTGTTACGTTTGCAAATTAAAAAAAAAGTGCCCCAAAAATGACGCCATATTTCGTCATCGCACTTTAATTAATCTTGGCAGAGGCGATTAAAGCATTCTGTTTTGGTTTGGAGCTAAGCCAAGCTCGTGACCTGGTTCATAAAAACAAATGTATACGTGATACGACACTATCTTAATAAACAATGTGTTGATGCACATATTAGCCATTTTTCATATGTTTATGCTATGTTATATGTTATCTAATAAGACGTATGTTTATTCCGCGCCGTCCAATATGTCCTCCGTATAAGATAGAGTCCCCTTGACACATTCTCGCACGAGACGTGACACGGAAGAGGATTAATTTGTTGTTATTCCGGTCGGATCTTGAACTGGCAAGAAGCGTAGCGGAATAAATTTAGTGATTTGCGTCATCATTTCTAAAATGTGGGGAAAATGATGTGCAAAGTCAAAGAGTTTCGGCCGAAAAACAAGATGTTTATTCAGAGTTTTCTATCGATTTCGTATAATTGTCTGCTGCATGGTAATGCTTATCCAAATCATATTATAGCGTCGGAAGAGTTTCGACTCCATAGTGCATAAGTGCATAATGAATATTGTGATGATGCTACTCTGAGTCACCAAACGGGCAAAATGAAAAATTAGCTTGACCACAGTGGGAATCGAAACCGCGACATTTTGTTTGCTAGTCCAATGCTCTTCCAACTGAACTACTAGGTCAAGGCGGTTCTAATTTTTCAGCTTACCCGGTTGGTGACTCAGAATAAATATCATCACAATATTCATTTATAGTTCGGAAGCTGTTGTAACAATTCGTACCTCACCCTCGCCAAAGATGTATACTGTTATTTAATTTCTATGTTTTAATATTGAAAGCGGGCGGTAAACTATGAAATTTTACTGTGAAATTTAGGTTTCAGTCTGGCGCGGGTGGTAAATTATGAAATTTTATTGTGAAAATTAGGTTTCAGTCTGGCGCGGGTGGTAAACTATGAAATTTTATTGTGAAATTTAGGCTGCAGTCTGGCTGAAGAAAGCAGAATGTCTGTCAACTTTAGGCAGAGAAGAAGAAGCAGCCGAAGCGTATTCCTGGGTGGTTTCACTCGCTCCAAGTCATGCCGAGGCGAGGTTTACACTCTCCACTTTGTACCAGAGACTGGGACACAGTGATAAGGCGCTCAAAGTGTTGGAAGGTACTAATACGAAGAGCATGAGACAACTTTCCACACAGGTTGCCCAGTATAATGTCAAGCAGAATAGAGCCTGCAATCTGAAATATTATGTATTTTAGAGGCTCCAGTTTTAATTAAGTAAACAAGTTTCATTCCTCAGAACTCCACTTATTACTTTACTACGACCTTTTGTCTCTCTCTGTAGAAATGCCAAATACGGACAAAGATGATGAAATGTGGGTGGAAGGAGAAAATAGTGCCGAGATGAGAAAGAATGGTCAGCCCAGAGAAAAACCAGATATCAATTCGCTTTCACTCCAGGTTTGTATTAAAGTCAATTTTGGTTTTGCATGTAAAAATCGATAAAGAATGTCTCAGTGTTACACACTATGTCACAAAGAACATACAATTTTGTGATTAGCATGATAGCTGTAACTATGCATTCAGCTATGTATGCTCCAGTTAAGTCCGTAAACGACAACCCCTCTTATTCATCTTTAGATTGTCTTGTAATGGTTGAAAGATATCGCAATTTTCGGTGTAAATTAATCGTATTAACGAACTGTTTATGCAGTTTGTTAAGTTTTATGCATTTACTCATTAAACTTTGACCAACGCAAGCTAAACAACTGCAGAATAAATGCCTGTTCTTTTCCAGTATACCTTCTTAACGTCTAATGCTTGTCCTCTATCGAGTATGGTAGACCGTGGTCTAGTACAGTTTTTAACTATGGAATCCTTATTTTTAATCTCAGGAGGTCAAGTTGATTTATCATCGGTGTTTGTTGTTATATTCTCAACAAAAGTTTGATGATTTTTTGGCTGACGGTCTTAAACTTCTAGCCCGATACATGGCCGACGTCTATTATGATGAAAATATGCAATGTAAGTTACACGAAACACATTTGACATCTCCATGCAAGAAACTGCCTGTAACATAAAACGCCAAATGGCTGCCCGAACATCATTGTTTAAGGCTATTCAATGTACGTCATGTGGAACATCGAGGCGCAATGTTCACTATGAGTTAGTTCACTTGTAATCGATTGACTTCGTGCTTGGAAACAAATATTTGCAATTTCATATCATTTGATTTGCTCTCTTCAACATAAACACTGAAACGTAATGAAACAAAGCTGATCCACACACACACCCCCCCACTCAAAGCACTATTATTAAAATACTTGTAGTAAAAACCGACACTCGATTTTATCCTTCTTTTCTTCACATATGAAGCTGATAACATGTACCGTAACTACAAGTTAGCCCTTCGACGGATGAGGAGAGTTTGTGACGAAGTACCTGAAGAATTAAGAGGTATACCGATAATTTGCATATAATATACTTGGAAGCCAGGTATTTAGTATGCGAGCAATGATGTTTACTGAAACACAGTATTTACTACCGTCGTTTTGCCTTCGCGAGTAAAACTACTCCATGAATTTCCATAAGCCAAAATACCTATATATACTAGGTAAAAATGTTTGTTACTGGCTTGCTGACCATGCGCAGTTGATCATTTTTTACAGCAGCTTGAAAACTAAATTAAATACCCGATCATCTGACGGCAGGTTACGTCTCTGTATTTTTCTATACTCTGATTCATATCCACTGCCCAGCAACAATAGCGAGAACGATAACATGCATTAGAATATTGAAATCCAATAACATTATTCAGAAAAAACACGAAATGTATTTAAAAATGTTTTAACAGATAAACGGCTGAGGCCCGTGAGAAAAAATCTGTAAAAAGTAAAAACCAGTGCATTTTTTATTGCCACTCTCTGTAACAAATATAGAAGGTCCTAGACGGCAATTTCCTGTTAAATATTAAATAGTATTTTAGATATACTGGTGTGATAAAACGAACAGCAGTAAATATCTACGAACGTGATATCGAGAAAATCGATTTACTTTTAATTCAACCGTCTTTGATTAGACACCTACGCATATTCCCCGTTGGTTTCCTGACTAATTTGAATATGCAGCGGTGGACTGATAAATACCGATATTGGCAATGCATTATAGAGCACACTATATACACTTTTGTTTATTTCCCAAAAATTATCCTGCATGATGCCTTGTCAACCTTTCTCTGTAAGCTATCTCACTGCATGATGGCGAATAATCTGGAAAAACCTATTAACCTGGATATCACGTAATGTGAGATTGTGATGATTTGAAGTGTTTACCGAAAAATTAAGTAAAAGAGATCTTTGGTTTCTAGAGACCACAAAGACGGCATTGTTAGTATTTCATATATGTCAAGGCCATGTCTTGACGAAAGGCATAAGTAGAAATACGTGGCATTACGTGCGTGACCTGCACATTTCATTTTAAAATAGCCACATCCATGTTAGCCTCTTTGAAAAATTGACGTCAGTATAACTGTGTCAATAACATTACCTGACCACAATGTCAGCAAAAATCCTGCTATAGCTAGCACTCCAAACATGCAAGGCTTCCCTCTGTTAGAAATATTTCCAAATGTTGTAAAAGTTTTGCGCAAACTTGAAATAACACTGTCTGCAATCTTGGCTCATCTTATACTTGTAGTTGTTGACGATAAATTGTTTATCGGCTTGCAGCGGTTGCACTTACGCGCTAACTTCATTTAAGTGAACTGAGTAAATATAAAGACGTGACGTTGGATTTTTTTGCTGTTAAAGGAAATTTTAAAATAGTCGTACGTCTTGTACGTCATGTATTGACGTCAACTTATTTTGCACTACAGAAAACCTAGTGCAATATATGTTAGTCCAATATATGTTTCACTTATTGAAAAAATAATATATTAGTGTACGAACGGTAAACGGGAAGTCCATGAGATACAACCAGGCAGAATAAACTTGGGTCCACAGCCAAGTTTTTTATGAGATTGCAAATATAGCAGCTTGGAATTTGATAAACGTTGAAAATGTGAAGGATTTATAAAGGTAAGTTTTATCCATTTGTATCCCAAACACGATAAATACCGTACGCATGTAGGTTGTAAAACACGAGACAACTTTTCTAGTGTAAGCTTCCATCTGGTCAGCGGAAGACATATATATGAATACGTTTACTATCTGGATCAATGGAGTGCAGCCTACCGGTGTAGTTATTTCAGCATGCATGCATATTGTTAAAATATACTATCACCTTGAAAACGTTCTATAAACGTTCTGAAAACGAAGTCTAGTGAGATGGGGGAACAAAAGCAACTCACATGCAGCAAGTCATCTATAATAAGTGTGCATTGTAAAAGTTGCATGGCATTTTGATCACGTAATTTATATCGTCTTAATGAGATAAAAACTTGTGTTGGCTATACATAGACCTACATCGCTACACGACAGAAGTTTGTGAAATTAAAGTACTTGTATAAACAACATTTACACAAACGATTTGAACCAAGAATTAACGTGAAATGGTTTTCTTTTTAGCACATCGAGTTCGTTAATCGACTCGAATATGAACCAAGAACGAGTAGTGATTTTAAATGAAAGTGATTCCGCAGTGAAGAATACGAGTCAGCAAGTCAGTGTTATAAAATGGTCTGGAAAGGATTCAACGAAGAACTGCAAGGAAAAATCTGACCTTGAAGAGGACGATACCTTACCTATCAGCAAAGATTACTTTATTTCATCGTATTCAGTTGTAAAGCCGAACAAAAGTATTGTGGAATATCGCTGTTCATTTTGTGAGAAACCATTCAAATGGCATTCACATTGGAAATCTCATGAACGAACACATACGGGGGAAAAACCTTTTGAATGTGAAGATTGTGGAAAATCGTTTGCCAGATCCGATAGTTTACAATGTCATAAACTAACTCATATTCGAAGAAATCCACAAACGAACGCAGTTGGATACAAATACCCTCCGGGTGGAACAGCGGAGCGAATTTCGAATGTCACGACAAAACTCGAGCAATCAAAATTATTTAGCTGTGATCATTGCAATCGAATCTTCTTTAGTTCTTCTGGGCTGGTAAAACATATGCAAGTTCACAAAGGTAAATTTTTTAGACCACTACTGCTCTATTTACTATCAGTGAAATCATGGGTTTGGTCAAGATGTTTGACAAAATGGCGTCTATATTTATACTGTCTGAATGCATGCTTTCTAAATTCGCGTATTCACGAGTGCTTATCCTATGCACTGTAATTGGTTTGGTATGCACTATAGGATCATCTTAATGGTGAAAGCGTTTCAAAATATGTCAAGGATCGATATATTTTGCTTAAAGGCTCTTTTCCACTCATCGCAAAATCACAAACTAATTCTGTCATCTATACATTAACAGCTAGATGTTAAGGTGAGAATTAACGCAGCTGTATAAAACAAAAGCTGAAATTCTCAGTTTAGGGGGATTTTGAATTTAAAAAGGTTGAGACTGCATGCATGTGTTCGATGGCAGGCAAGCTACTCAAGCTTCAATTGTTCGGGCGTTCCCACAAATCGCTCATATGAAAACGCCTAATCGCAGGTTACACAGCGACTTTGGAACAAATATATCACTCCACATGCACTACAATTATTCTGTTTAACTCAGAGCTATAGATCATAGAGTAAGAAGTATATAGACATTTAATCCATGTTTATATGGGATTTTACAATATTTTACCTGTCAAAACTATATATTTTGTAGACAAAAGTGTTGCTATGAAATTCATAGTTATATTCAATTTACTAGTTTACGTACCAATGCCAAGTGCTCTTTGTCATTAGCTTTATAAATTGATTTTACACCCTTTTAGCGTTAAATGAAACAAAACAAAACTCTGCTAAAAATATCGCCGCTCCGAGAATCGTTCAACTTGTCGTTCAATGTTTTATTTTCTAGGCAAAACGAACCATGTTTGCGAGGTATGTGACATGGTATTTCCCAAGAGAAGTTCGTTGGAAGTTCACAGCAGAGTCCACACAGGAATAAAACCATATCGATGTAATATTTGTACTAAAGCATTCTCGATATATGGAAATTTAAAAAGACATTTATTGATTCACACTGGAGAACGTCCATATAAATGTTCTCATTGTTTAAACAGTTTCAACAATCCAAGTCATCTGACCAGACATATAAAAAAGAAACATGGAAAGGGCAACGGAAATAAAGAAGAAATTAATTGATTATTCCTATTCTTCAGCTCGCAGTTATGATATATTAAAAACATGCAGGGAAATTTTATGCAAACTCTTCTTAGAAATTTATTAGCAAGATCACTCTTCAAGACGTGCCTAGAAAATATTTGGCAGGATATCTTCCCAACGTAATCATAATAAGAGTTTTCCGGTAAATTAGAGAACTAAATTCCTAAAGTTATCAAAGAAATTAAAGACGTTACTAGAGTCTTTCATGAAACTTCTTTGAATGCGATTCCAACTTCTCTATAACATAAGTGTTTCACTGTCACTTTTATCTCTATGCCATGCATATTGTTAATTCTTTCAAAATTGTCGTCAAATTGAATGTTGTTGAAAAGCATGATAAATATGGACAACACAACATTGTTCATTATAATATAACATTTATAGTACGTGCGTGCTGATTGTTCGAGAAGCGTGTTTCTATAACTGTATAGAAACGCGGGGATTTTCCCGCCGAGAGAAAAAAAAACTTTAGCATCAAATGTGGTATAGCAACTGCCTAATTAAATAGACAAGAACACTTCTCGACGTTTCGACCTGAGGGCCTTCGTCAGGAGAGTTAGTATGACGGAAGGCCCTCAGGTCGAAACGTCATGAAGTGTTTTTGTCTATTTTAGGCAGTTGTTATACCACATTTGATGCTATTGTACAAAATATTTTTATTGAGTTGTATTATGCTGAGTTTGTATATAGTAATAGAAACACTTGTGGGAGCTTGGTGGAACTCGAAATAACGTGGATAAACTCCACCTAGGGGCTCGTTATTTCTCGTTTCTTAAACTCACACTATAACTGTATAGAAACACGGAAAATGTTCAGTTTCTATTTCTTAAATGTTGTTCATCGGCGGGCGTGGGGTCGAAGCCTAAACATCGGTGAAGCATTTTTAACGATTTTAACGACAATTCGGAGCTAGAATATCAGTTAAACTCCTTCACATCTCTTTTATTCTGTTTTTGAAGCGATAAGATGAAAAGGGTTGGGGAATTTGCAGCCATGCAGACGCGTCGCAATGAGAGAATAAATACATGCATATATAAAATTACCAGACTCTTATCAAATTTCATGGATTGATACAATTCAGTCATGGATTGATACAATTATAAATATTCAAGATGGAAATGGGTGTGTACAGGGAAAACGGATTTTATAACTCCATTTATAACAAAGAAAGATTAGTTCTA